TTATAAATTTAACATTTCTCTGAAGTTCTGGATTAACCTGTACTTTCCTCAAATGTACAGACGGGTCAGATTCTTAAAAACAATTCAAAGAAAAGTTTTCAGTTCTTTAAAACCAGTGTTCAGGTTTAAACAAGGCAAAATTTCAAAATTTGATCCGCATATTTTTGCGGATCCGGATCTAGGAAGCCTTTCTTGGGGATCCAACGGATCCGGATCCTAATCATCGTTTTTGACATTTTAACAATTACAAATGGGTTTTACAAAAATAAGCCTTCTTTTAAATCTAATTAACTATTTAGCACAATTTAAAAATGTTTTGGTGGAAAAACTGTTTAAGCACAGAATCTGTAGTTGTAGAGGCAACGTTTTCAACATTTTTTTCTGAAAATTTAAATCAATTTGTCTTTAATTTCAAAAAAAAATTTGTACACGAAAAAAAACAATCTCTATGTTGTTCAGGGAAGCTGGTAGGATTTTCAGTTTCTCCTTAATCAACCTATATATAAACAGTATTATTTATTAGGTGCATTACATGATCGAAATATTAGTTTGGCTGTGAGTTATTTGATCTAAGAAGCTCTATATTTAAGTTCCCATACATTAGTATTAGTGGCCAAAAAATGTATCTTTATTATTTTAAAAAATAGTATTACCTTGCAAAAACTTTCGGTGTTTTTCCTCCATCCAGAGGCATAAGTATAGTATAGAAAATGGAAGACAAGAACAGATAAATGCAGTTAAAAAAAAAATAATCAAAATTATTTACGTCAAGTTATAAATTTTTTTTTAACCGCACGAAAAATATTGAATGTTAGTAATAGTAATAGTAGTAGATAAACACTAAAAAATAAAACATACTTTAAAATGTTAACTTTAAGCTTAAAATAAAGGGATCTTTTTATTCCTTTGTTATGCAAGTATGTTTTAAAATAAGTGTTATTTCAAGGAAAAAATCATAAAAAACTATTAGTCTTCATAGGATTCGAACCCACGACCTCCACATTGATGTGTTGCTCTAACCACTGAGCTAAAAGACTAGTTCAATAGTTTCTTATTACATTTTTTAATGGGAAAATAAAAAAATTACAGGATTTATAATATTTGAGTTTTGACGCAGTACACAGTACAACACACACAGTGCACACACCAAGGATGTAAGGCAAGGAAAGTCATTTAGTGCTGCAGTGTACTGTCTCTGGGCGCTAATGTAAACACAAGACGGATGTCGAAGCCTGACATGGGATCCATCATTCACAGAAAAAATCAATGAAATATTCTGGTCATAGGAATATATATATCTGAATTTTTAAAATTATCAAAATTTAATGCTTTTAACCTCCTCGGATACTAAACGAACACTGATGCATCTATTATTGTTTACAAATTCCGCCCAGAGAGAACTGGTTTCAATATGTACACAGAGTATACACAACCGCAATTGATTTTCCTTGCCTTACATTCTTGGCACACACTATAAATGATGTTCCAGATAAAATATTTGTAAAAAGGATTACCATGTAACTTAGCTGGTATAGGGAAGCTTTCAGTGAACTCAGTTGCAGCACATGAACCTGTACAGAAACAGGTTTATTCATCAGTTGCAGTATTTAAATTAGTACATAAACAGGTTTATTTATTTGCTCTAGTACTTTGAACTTGTACAATACATTTATCAATTATCAGCTGCAGGACATGAACCTGTACATCAGCATTTAATCTTTTAACAGCTGCAGTACATGAACATTTCCATAAACTGAACAGGTTATTTATTAGCTGCAGTACATTGAGCTGTACATAAAAATTGGGTAGTTTTACTTCAGCGTACAGACTATGGTTATTTTTTAAATTGAATTGAATTGTAGGGGTTGGAGTTATTGATAATTTTGATATAACATTACCCTTTAAAGTCAGTTGGTAGAGGGAATTTGTTGTAACACAGGTCTTGTAGTTAACTTTGGTTTTCATTAAATTTTCAAAATTAATAATTAAAGACTAAAAAATTATAAAACTTCCACTTTTTCCCGATTTTTGATTTAAAAATAATAGTTAAATATTGTCCCTTGGTATCTTTATATCTTGAAAACACCGTATCTAGGTACAGGTTTATTTCAAGTTTAAGTTAAAAAAAAACTTTTAAAATGGATTTCGATGGTAAATATAAATTATTTCCAGGAATAAAAACAACTCAAACATCAATTGGTTCAAAGTATTTTTTAGAAGTAAATTTTCATTTGAAATAAAGTCTTTTAACTAAATAATTCTTGGTCGTTACTATTAATTGTTACAGATTCAAGAATGATAAAACTATAAAATTGCCATCGTTTTTAAATGTTAACATTTCAAATTATTAATTAATTTTTTTACTTGTTATCTTTATATCTTGATAACACCGCATCTAGGTACAGGTTTACATATCAAGTTTAAGTAAACAAGCAATTTTAAAATAAAATTTATGGAAAATAGAATTTTTTCCAGAAATGAAAACACATCAAACATTAATGGATTGTATTATACAGAATGTTGACAACAACCAAGAATCTTTGAATTTAAACTAATCGAATTTATTTAACAAATGAATGCAAAGAATTTATTCTAGTGTTAACCTTGCTTCTAACCCTATGATTTTCCACACTTAGGGCATTTCTTCCTCACTACAGCATTTAATATTAAGATCAAAAAGGGCGATGTTTGTAAAGTTTAATGGGAAAATTTGAGAAATTAGGAATTTTTAAAAAAATAATAAATATGCTTCCTAGGTAGGTCTCACAATGCTGGCATTTTCGTGGTCTTGCTTTGAATTGTGATGCCAACCTCAGTGATTTCCTAATTAAAGAACACATTAAATATAAAGATATAAGATCATTTAATCACAAATAACTTGTACTATTTGACTTTTTCTATTACCTGTTCAATTCTTGATATTGAACAATGAAGTTCATCCGTCTTTCATTGTCCCTAAATATTTATTTGTTAATACTGCAGTACCTCCCAGTACACTGCGGTACTCTATAATAACACCCATTAGTATTTTCATTACCCATTACAGAACCCCCAACACCCAGTAGTATCCAGCAATACCCGACAGTACTCCACAGTACTCCACTGTATCCCCCAATATCCTCTATTACTCCCTAGTACATCCAGCACCACCAGGTACTCTGCAATACCTCCCCAGTACTCTGCGGTAATTCGCCCAGTACCCCTTTTAACCCCCCAGTGCACCCTAGTATCACCCAGTACCACCCAGTACCCAGTAGTACCCAGTAGTAACCAACACTAACCAGCAGTACCATTCCGCACCCTACAGTGCCCCCACAGTACCACACAGTCCCCTTAGTACCCCCACAGTAACTTGCATATCTTTTTTATTTAAAAATAAAAATACTAGTTTTTAAGTTGTACTCAAACTTTTTATTTTTTTGACATTTGCAGAAAATTGTTAACATTTTGTAATTTTGGATTTTTTGTATCTTTGGACGTTTAGTATCTTTGGACATTTTGTATTTTTGGACATTTTGTAACTTTGGATATTTTGTAAGTTTGGGCCTTTTTTATCTTTGGACATTTAGTAACTTTGGAGATTTTGTAACTTTGGATATTTTGTAACTTTGGCATAGTAATCACTTTCCATTATATAGAAGTTTAATGGTCGTAAAGGTCAATAAATTTCCATAAACTACCTCCAATAAAAACTGTTTCGACATGCTCTGTTTGAGAGAGCATGTATGCTCTCCAGGTTCTCTTCAGATTGCCACCTCCCCTGGGTAAAATAAATAAATAATACATCATGATCATAAAATTGTAATTAATATGGATAAAAAAATATCATAATATCAAACGCAAGCAATACAAAATGGGTACTTTTCAACATTTGTGTCCTTTCCATTTTTTTGGCTAGGCCAAGATATTCTTCTTGCTAGCATTGTCTACAATTGGTCTTGTCCATAATTTTTGTTAACAAACACAAAAATTACTACAATAAAAAACAAACAATCAAAACAGATTGTTCCAAAAAAATGTAAAAAGAATAAGAGACGGAAGAAGCAAAAAAGACAAGAAGAGACATTAATAGACAAGACCTATTTCTGTTACCTGCCAAAAACGAAGACTTCTGGGGGCTACCATTACTATATTGTTATACTAATTTAAAAAACACGTTTTCATCAAACTTTTTAAAAATAAGTAGAAGGGTACAAAAACAATATTTTTTAGACATTGTTAAATTTTAAACTTATTAGTATCACTCCTAGTACGTCCAACTTTGGTGTTATTGGAAAATTTGGGAATGATTTTGGAATTAGTTCCCCAAGAAGAGACGTATTCATCTCAAACTCAACCATATCCTCTTCGGTGGCAACTTCTTTTGTGATGAGCCTTAAAATTCAACATTGGTTTATAGTGTGTCCAAAAAAAAACTCTGCAGAAATTGGGTATTGAGGGAAAATTTCACAATCAATTGTTATCATGAAGGTGTCCAATGATAGCTGTATATTTTAATTAGAGGTTTTCTCTAGGGTCATTTAAAATTTTAAGGAGTGTGATTTGTATTCAAAATATGTCAAATTTTCTTTTAAACTTTTTTTCAAACACTACCAGTAAATGTTTACTGGCTTCTTCTTCTATATTTTCCCGTAAAATCAAATAGTCAACACAGTTACTGTAAAAAAAATTACTGGCCCAAAAAAAAGCATTATCATTTCCTTCCCTCCCTCCCATCCCTCGTCATGGATCTGCAAAATCACCAAAAACTGAGAGATCTTTGATGATTTTAAACAAAAATACCTTTTTCCAACTTCATTCATGACATGAAACAGAGTTTCCCAGCAGAGCAATAACTCTTTGTCATTTTTTAGGATGTCNTACACTTTAATTGATCAAACACTATTGACTTACTTCAACGATAAAGTTTAACTTACTTTTCAAAAATGAAGAAAGGTGGCGTCCTAACATTACACCAGGTAGAAATGTTGAGCGATCTATACTCATGCTCTTCAGAGCATCCAGGAAAAAAGTGACCCTAGGTCCTGAAAATCATATTCGGATTAGTTAAAGGACAAGCAAGATTTTAAGGTAAAAGAAAAGTGTGTTAAATATGTGTACACAAACTGGTAAAAATAAGATTTTGTTTCGAATAAAGTTAAAAAAAGAGGACATTAATACGTTTTTAGCATTGTATTATATTTTTTCTCGAAATATTATTATTCAGGGGCTCGAAAAAAGGAAGTAATTCAAAGAAAAGTGATTGCTGATCGTGACCCTCGAAATGAACTCCATCAGGTGAAATTCTGTTCATACTATTTATAATAAGAAGTATCATCGTTTTTATTTAATTTTTTGGCTTTACAAAATTTTTTAATTTTTGATTTTTATGTTTTTCTCTTTTCTCCAACGCAAAATGTTGACTCTGTCGATAGATATATGCCAATTGCCAACAGCCCAACTGCATGAACGATTTTTGAGATCGTTCATTAACTTAAAGAATTTAGGGTTCTTTGTAAGTTCAAACAGAAGCCTATAATCTTTGTTTAGCAAAATGTTTGATACTGGCAAATAAAAATGAAATCTTAAAACTTAGAAACTTTTGTGTAGAGCTGGAAACCAAAAATAAGAATGTTCTGAAGGGACTGTATATTTAAAAAAATGTTTGTCAAAAAATATGGTCTTTTTTTGGACACCCTAATCAGCTTTAAACTTACCGAAAAAATAGTTGATTAGTCTAGACTAGAGCTTTAGCAAGTGATCTTTAGAAGGAGGGAACAAAATTCCTCTGCATTACAAAAAAGCTTGCTCTCTCCCTAAATAGTGGAATTGATATTTTTAAATAAAAATAAACAAACTTCCGGTTAAATTTAGACACTGAGAGTGCTAAAAAAGCCAGTTTTGTCAAAAATTCTTTTATTTCTTCCTAATACTAAACTTCAGGGATACTTTTTCATAATAAAGACACATTTTCACTTCACCGAAGATACTTTATAAATTTTATCAGAAAATAGTGCTTAAAAAGGGATTATTGAATGTCTGGGTAAAAATAAGCATTAAGAGGGAAATAGCCATTAGCCAAACAACATCAAAATTTTCGTTAATATGTCCTACATATTCTCAATAGTAATTCTGATTACCTTCTTTTCATTAATATTATTAAACAAAGTCTGCACAAGATTCAAGAAATATTTTACAGTTTGAACTCTCTTTCTACCGAACCTACCTACAGACAAGAATTGGATTAGAAAACGATTTTAGTGATCTTTTAAGCAAAAGAATTATTTTAAAAAAACATTGAAAATCAGTACAGATTTACTCCAAATTTAACCCCATCTTATCAGTTTTCATTAGATTTTTATCAAATTTCAGAATAGAGTAGAACAAATAAATCCTTTTTTTGTGAATCGAGAAGGAAAACTTAATATCAACTATCAAATAAATCAACTTTAAGACTTTGATGAAACTTCTGTATAGGGCGGGAAAAATAATACTCACAAAATTATTGGTCCGGTCTCTATAATCACTCATCATGCAATTATTGTTCATTTATCAGCAATTAGTTCTGAAATAGAAATAAATTAGTTAATTAGTATTTATTTATTATTATTTAGGGTTAGGTTAGGTTAAGACACTTTCTGGGCCGAGCGCTGCGGCCATGGGATAGGTTAGTTAAGACACTTTCTGGGCCGAGCGCTGCGGATAGGCCAGGCTAGGGGGCCGAGCACTGCGGCCACGGGTTAGGGTAAGTTGAGACACTTTCTATAAGATCCATGTACAAAATTGATAGAAGGGGGGCCTGGGGGGGGGTCCAAAAATCGTTCTCTATAAGGAATATACCATTACTTCCTCCAGCCTATCGATGCTATATCAATTTTAAGGACTAATAGCAGATTAAACTAACGTTCATAGCATGTAAAGTCAGCTGTTCACAGACCAGGTTATATATATATAGTCCACTTAATGCAGTTAGCAGTGTAAGATTGAGTGTTGTAGCCTAACCTTACCCACAAGGGCGGATACAGGGGGGGCCGCAGGACCTATGCAACCCCCTGAGATTTCAGTCTAGCTTTTCAATAGCACTAAGGGAAAGAAATCCTAGTACAAAACAGAAAAAAAATATTTATCTTCTTAATAAAAATTTCGCCTGCAACCCGTCTTTTAGTTCTATAATCTGGATTTTTTGTTCCCTAATAAATCTAGCACCCCCTCACTTATAAATACGGTATCCGCCCCTCATACCCAAAAATAAAAGATTGTTTAAGATAAAAATTAAACAATTAGTTCATTTGATTATAGTTCTTTAGAACGTTAATCCAAATAAATATTAGCTAAAACACATGATATAGTCCGATCGATCATTAGTTCAGTTGATATGACACTGCACCCTGTCAATTCCGCATATTATGAAAAATTTACAGGAGCCAGCAAAAAACCATCATTACCTAGAAATTTACTTATGAATAAGCGAAAGAATATATACTTAAAGCCTGGGTAATTTGAAAAGAGAGGGGTGGGGGGGGGGGGCAAAAGAGTTCTCAGAGAGGCCGATTTAATCTCCTAAGTATGCGTCAAAATGTTAAATTGAATTGATTATATATGCAAACTATCACTTAAACAATTGGCTATATCAACTGTATGATATTATAGTCGAAATATAGACTTTAATATTATAAAAATACTTAAAATTAAGTTTTATCACCGTCACACATGGAGTTTGTTTATATAAAAATGTTTGGTTTGGAAATTTTTTTTAGATACGTACCATCAGTCGGGCCGGTGCATGAATATTTCGTTGTACCGGGCAGAATTTCTATCTATCTATCTTCAAATCATTATATTGCCATTTTGGCCCTAAGTGGGGCGGAAACGTCATGTGTGTGTGTCTGTACCAAAAGAGTGTGTGTAAAGTTTACCGAACAGAAGGTGTGTACTGTAGGTATATACATTATACAGTACATAAGAATCTCGGTATTTGTACAGTCTAGGAGAGTACACTTGTTTTTTTTTGTTAATTGTTTACTTAAAAATAAGTTTAATCCTGCATGTAGTATATTATTTACATATTCAAATCAACAAGTCAACACTATGAGCCAAATTTTCATGCAAAGAATATAATTTGATTAAAGTTTACAATAAACTACTCATTGACAACATTGTTCCGCAATTTCCTTGACTGTAGTCATGTTGTGTGTCTGTACCAGAAGAGTGTGTGTAAAGTTTACCGTACTGGTCTGCAAAGAAGTGCGACTGGCTTTCTCATGCGCGCCAGACCAGCGCCATTTCCTTTCCCTTTATTCCTATTCCCTGGTATCGATCCAATTAAGTTAATATCCAACGGAACTTTTACATCTAAAGCCCAGCACAAATGAAATATATGATTTGTCAAAATATTACACGATCCTGATGTTAGAGGGATCGTTAAAAATAAATGCTTGAAAGAGAAGAGTCGCTGACTATACCCGAATGAAAAATCGGCATGTTTAGTTTACCATTAAATTACCCAAATAAGTGAACGGTCCCTTTAAGTTGTCTTGCTACTGTCACATGTTTCCTGGGACACCATGTACTCTTGTATAATTTGTAGATTTTCTGTTTAAATTCTTTCAATTTTTCCCTCTGAAAGGAAAGCACTAAATAAACGTCAAGAAAGGAGAAAGCATCATTTATATAGAGATGGAGATAGACAAATTTCTAGGAGATTATAATTAAGGTGAGGAGGATAGTTTATTCTAAGGAGAACAGAACTAAGAAGAGGAGGATAGTTTATTCCAAGGAGAACAGAACTAAGAAGAGGAGGATAGTTCATTACAAGAAGAACAGAACTAAGAAGAGGGGGATAGTTTATTACAAGGAGAACAGAACTAAGGAGAGGAGGATAGTTCATGCCAAGGAGAATAGAACTAAGAAGAGGAGGATAGTTTATTACAAGGTGAACAGAACTAAGAAGAGGAGGATAGTTTATTACAAGGAGAACAGAACTAAGAAGTTGTGGATAGTTCATTACAAGGTGAACAGAACTAAGAAGAGGAGGATAGTTTATTACAAGGTGAACAGAACTAAGAAGAGGGGGATAGTTCATTACAAGGAGAACAATACTAAGAAGAGGAGGATAGTTCATTACAAGGTGAACAGAACTAAGAAGAGGAGGATAGTTCATTACAAGGAGAACAGAACTAAGAAGAGGAGGATAGTTCATTACAAGGAGAACAGAGAACTAAGAAGAGGAGNTTAAATTGAATTAAATTGAATTAAACTAAATTAAACTGAATTAAATTTATATAAAAAACAGAATGTTTAATCTTATTCAATTCATAGTTTGAAATATTAACGGTTTACGACATTGGGTCGCAAAGCCATAAGGAGCAGAAAATTATAGTTTGTCGCTAGAGCTCTGCTTCTTTAATTTTAAATTTGTGCATCATGCCCATCCCTCTGAAGGTGTACCAAGTCTAGTAGAAAGCACCTGGTGAATATAAATTGTATTCAGCAGACTCAACATACACGGTGAAAGCTATTGAGCACAGCACAAGCATAGAACATAAAATAGTTCACAGGACAAAGTACAGGCATAGGTGTGAAAGAGTACAAGTACTTCTAATAGAATTATTGCGAAAATAGTGTAAACCAAGGTTATAATGCAAGGAAAGTTAATTGAAGTTGCGTATAATCTGCGTACAAATATTTTTTTAAGATCTAAATATTTTTATTAACACAAAACATAAAGTTATAAAAAGTATGAGTTTGAATACGAAGATTACATAGTGTTATTTTTGAATGAAATATAATTACAAGGATATTTTGATTTTGCTTGTGGACAATGAATAGGGTCGCAATTTATTGGAAAAACTTGTTCACATTTAATGCAAGTGGATACATTTACTAGGTGTGTGTTCAACTTGTGATGCGGATTGTTCGAGAAATCTTTAAAATGTTCAGTTTTCATCCACTGTGTATGAGGTATATGCTCGGGTCCTTCTGTCTGTTTCCAAACACAATGTCCTGTATCACAATGTTTTTCCGATCTAAACACAGGGGACCAAGGTTTATCTCCATTACATTTATGACACAATTGATGTTTGTCCATCTCTCCGGGAATAATGTCCGTGTCCATTTCAAAGTCCATTTTCTCGCTCAGTTGGGATTCAGGTGGATGAGTATCAACAGAACCTTGAGTATCAGCTCTATTCTTTATATTTAACCCTAATTGTTGTTTTTGTTGAGCCAGGTTTACAGGTTGTTTATATGTACTGCATGGGGTATTGACAAAACCTGTTTCTGTTTCAGGTTCATCCGGCTGCTGAATTTCCATACCCTGCATGTTCAGGGATTGATACATTCTCCGTTTCAGCTGGTTTTCCTGCAGCCAAAGCTTTTTTCAACAGCCAGGCCTCTTTTTTTCCCTGTCCTTCCTAAATTTGGAAGGCTTCTTTTGTTTTCCTTCCCGTGGAACCTGAGGTCTAGGTACTGAGGAGAAGGTGGAACCCTGGGGTCTGGTGACTGATGAGAAGGTTATTGTTTCCTTCCCATTCTCAGTCTCCAGAGTCATCCTAGCCCAGATCCCTGCTGATCTACACTGATTGTATAATCTTAGGATGGCAGGGAAAGTATTCACCCCTGCCATCTTGTTTTATCTCTAGTGTACTGCAGCAATCACATACTGTTGTGTTCGGTACCAAGGTCAGCTGAATAATGCGTACAAATATTGAAACCAGTTCTCTCTGGGCGAAATTTGTAAAGAATCAGTGTTCGTTCAGTATCCGAGGAGGATAGAAGCATTGAATTTTGGAAATTTTGATAATTCACATAATAGTTTCCTATGACCAGAATATTTCATTGATTTTTTATGTGAAAGATGGATCCCATGTCAGGATTATTTCCTTTCAGTATAACCTTGGTGTAAACAAACTTTTACAAGATAAAACTAAATTTAAAGAGATTATTGCGTAAAAAATACATGAAGCACTGTTAAAAATGAAAAATTAGGGATGGGTGCGTTCGACTGATTACATTATTTTCCAAACGTTTGTTCAATGGAATCGTTCTTAAAGTAGAAAATATCGTTATTTCAAGTTCATATTTTATATTTTTATTCAGCTTCAAGGCATGAGATATTAAAAATAAGCAATAACAATTTACTATGCTGTTTGGACCCGTCTAACCAGGAAAGGTTGTTTGAGTGGTTGGCCTTAGGTTACTTAACGATATTGAATGTAATTTGATACGCACATCTAATTTATTTTATTAAGATTGTTCAAATAATATTATATCGTTGGTTTTTTTGCCTTCATTTTTAAAAGCAATATTTTTTCATTTCCCTTAAGGATCCAAGTTGTTCGTCCATTGTTCGGGTTTATTTCTGAACAACACCATTGTTCACGAAAAATTTAGTTCTTTCTAAAAAAATGTTGTTCGTTAAAAAAAATACCCATCTCTAATGAAATAGTTTTTTGGTTTATGAGGAGAGTACAAGATTTTTAAATATAAAATTATAAAAAAATTAAATAAAATTTTTTCTTAAAAGAATGTTGCTATTGGCTAGCAGTAACAAAACTAACTACATTGAATTCAATTGAATAAAATTGAATTATAAATTGAATTATAAATTGAATTAAATTGAATTAAATTGAATTATAAATTGAATTATAAATTGAATTAAATTGAATTAAATTGAATTAAACTAAATTAAACTGAATTAAATTTAAATCTAATTATCCTTTCGCAAGTCCAAATTACAAAAATCGAAACTGTTTTTTTGTTTCAGATTGGTCTGTAATGAATCAGGTTGAGCAGCATGAGCAACGTCTAGATGAACTAGAGAAAGAAGTTGATCAGCTACTCCTAGAGTTTAACAACCTGGTCTCAAGGAACCGAACTTAATGAATTAGAGCTATAACATTGCTGAACCACCTATACTTCCGGTTCAAATTTGAACCACCGGTCCAAAGTTAAATTACTGAAGGATTTGAATCGGCGGTACACTCCTGTATGCCGAACCATTAGCGCCTGATCCAACCAGGGTTCAGTCATGTGTTTGGTGTCTATTTTGAACCAATAGAAATAGTATGGCGTCAACATCTATCTTTCTATCTGTCTCATTATCCAATTAGAGTTATGAATCCTTCAACCGGCGCTATCAGTAAATGGAAATATTTACTTCTACTGAAAGGTAGGTAGTTTAAATTCATTAAAGATGGTCCCAGGACTGAAAATACACTTGGAGCAAAGACGACTAAAATCACAGAGGACGATTTTCAGCTGCAGAAGTTAAGGTAAGAATAATTGCAAACGAAATTCAATGGATTGATCCGGGTCAACCTTTTCGGTCCCAGTTTGTACTGTCAACCTAATTTTAGAAGTAATTTCTAGAGATAATAATCACAAAATTCCCCCAGTCCTGCCATTTCCAAAATGTGGTCTGCATTTTTTGTGTTTTCAATATTTCTCGAGATATGTGAACAATTTCGTTTGAAATCTGAACCAAACTCTTTATATCTCCGGTAATATTGAAAGCACAAAAAACGCAGACCACTTTTTGGAAATGCCAGGGCTTGGAGAATTATGTGATAATTGTTTCAAGAACCATACATGTTAAAGTAGACAGAAGAATAAATGTCAAAAATAAATTCAAATCAAAGACGAATTTCAAGTCGTCTTGCTTGTTTCATGTTTCGTGGGACAACCTGTAGATTGAATTTACCTTTACTAAAGGGACAGATTTGCGTGACTAAAAGTAATATACTTAAGTCTTTTTTATGTTGTTACAAAATCAACAGTTTTACTAGAAACTTATAAATTCAGTAAAATGGGTTTGTTAACAGTTAACACTACACAATTGCTGTGTATCATGCGCATATTACATATTTAAAGTGATATGAGTATAAAAGTCGTCTTCATATTCAAGTTTTCTGGTTTTCTCAGCTTTAAAACTTCTGGTAAAGTGAAATGGGTCTCTGGACACTGTGTTTTATTGGAATATTAAAAATCATAACTTGTGTCTAACAGTCGTCTTCGTTTTCCAGAGTTTTATAAATTAGGTACAAAATCATTAGTGTATTTCTAAATCAATGGGATGCAATGAAGACGACGAGTAGTCCCAAACTCTATGATTTTTGCATGTGGTCTCTTATCTTTCTTATTACAAGACTATCACAGGCTATATATCGCCTTTTATGCTTGCATTACTAAGTTATCATATTATTATCTAGCTTAAGGGCCTGGCTTTGCCCCTTGGATTTTTTTTTATTTTAAAAATTCGATTTTTTTAGCCTATTACAACTCACGGCCACCCATGAGTGTCCACAAAAAATTTCAGCCGTTTGGCCGGCTTTACGCAACATATATATATAAATATATATATATACATATATACTAATGTCATGTTTAATTATATAGAAAAACATTAATTTATTTAGGCAAGAAAATGCGAAGCTGAAATATTGACTGAATATTGTACAACGAGCCTACAAAACAGAAACTAGTAAGACGGAGGTTTAAATAAACAGTTTATTTTCTTAACAAATTGCTTCGAGCGGGGAGTTTGAATTTGATATAGTTTAATTTTAAATGTCGTCATAGTTTGTATCTTACATAAATTATTTTGTTTTAGAAGAAAGCCATTAAATCCTACAATCTTCGTGGATATCTGGAAAACAAGATGGTTGGAAAAAATATGAAGAATAATAAAGTTGAAACTGGAAAAAACGAAGAAACAACTGATAAAAGAATCGAAGAAACAACTGATAAAAGAATCGAAGAAAGGTTGACGAATGAAGACGATATTTGTAAGAATGGAAAACAAGAAACAGTAGAAAATGTCTCTGTTCAAATTGTGAAAGGAAAAATTGAGAATGGTCTTCTTGACAACTCAGGATGCTTTCTCTGCGGAATTAAAGCAGGTGAAGAAAAACATAGAACAGTTTTTGATTTTATTCAAAAGTTTTTTTTTTCTTACAAAATGATGAGTAATTGTTTTAAAACTTTATCATGCAAGTTTGTCACGGTTTTAAAACTTTATCATGCAAGTTTGTCACGGTTTGAAAACTTTATCATGCAAGTTTGTCACGGTTTGAAAACTTTATCATGCAAGTTTGTCACGGTTTGAAAGTATTATACTGGCCTTTTTCAATCTCTGTTTCTATATACTGTTCTAAAGCTTGTTGTACATTCTTGAATATCAAAGATTTATTAAATAGATTAAAGCTTTGTAAGTTTGAAAGGAAGTTTTATGAGATCATTATGCATTCATAGTCTAACCAATGCGAAGAGACATTTCTAATTTGTAGTTTAGATTCGATCAGAGTTTTCGAGAATGGTCTTTGTATATATTGATAAATTGAACACAATGATAGAACATCTTCTTGCAAAGTAATGTCAGAATTATTTTCATGAAAACTATTTTTCTAGAAACTTCCTGTCCTCGGTGTGGTGTAGAAGCATGTTCAATTCACCTTTCTCAGCATAATGTATGATATATTTTAATGCAGTGGTCCCCTAAACACGTACTAAATATTCATTATATATTTCAAATAAAAAAAAAATTGCGGATTTTTTATATTTAGACCTGATTGGTTCAGCCGTTTTTACGTGTATTGGACACAAACAGACAAACAAGCAAACTATAAACATGTTACCTACAAAGGATGAGTCTTTAATGATCACCAAAATTCTATGATTGTTAAAACAAATTCGAAATATAAGGAAGACGATTTTTCCGACTCAAATGCCGACGTTAATTCTCTAAATGTGTGTGTACACAGGAAGCAAGCACACCACATGTGTCAAATCCCCGCTCACCTTAGCTCCCGCTCCACCCGGCAGTCAGCCACATACACTCAAGACATCCACAACTCCACCCTGGCTCCTTTGTGATGATGATTCAGATACAGAACTAAGTGCAGAAGACACTGCTTACACCTAGCTTCCGCGCTCCACAATGTTCCAGAGATCCGGGCGGATATCAGACGTCCTTCCATTATCCTGTATACAGGATAAGTCCGCAATCTCTTTCCCTGAGACTAAGCCTGATTGTAAGTAAGCCTGCCAAATCCTGCCGTCAAGATTGATGATCTGCACCACCATCATGAAGCTCTACAAACTCTTTCCAACCGATATTCGTCTATAGTTTCTTTATTAATTTCTATACCAGCCAATTTAAGCCCCACTCGGGAAAATATTTCATAACCTTTTGTTTTTATAAATAAAGATTAGAAATACCGTTAGATCTCTTTTATTTTATCATATTGACTTTTAAAGTCAACAATGATATATAACAATTGGAAGGAATTGATTTTGGTATTTTGAACTAAAATAGTCTTTAAATGTGTTGTGTTGATACCAAAAGAAACAAGTTTCCGGCTGCAAGGAACCACAACTGTGTCTTAAGGGCTACATAAATGCTGCACTGTCATCTCTGAATGAAGTCTTTTCCTTTGAGGGTAACCCTGTATATTTAAATATCCAAATCCAGTATTCTGACAGGGTGTACAAGAAGGAGACGAGGTCGTCTGTCTACCCTTCAGGGTAGTCTGGAGAGAGAATGTTGGTCGGTGCGTTCTAGCAACCAGGGATATTCAACCATTAGAGGTATTGACACACTGATCCCTATGGCTGGGCACATTTAAACTTGTTTCAAGTGTTTAGGGTCAGTCAGAATCATAGGAAAGACTAAATTTTCTGGAATGTCTTCATTCTTGGTTTTTCATGGTCTTTCTTAAAGGGAGTGTTCACGAAAAATGAAAGGGGGTATAGACTTACGGCGATAAATAATCGATTTTGATCGCTACTAATCTCAAATTCCATCTGTTTCGTCTATAAGGAGAAAATTGTTAAAAACGACGTATACCGAAGAACTTAGTGTCCATAAAAATTGAGAAAGTTGCAACATACAATAAGGATCGTAGAAAAATCAATTTAATATCAAACAAATCATTGAAATATTAAAATCTTTCGACATCGATTATTTTTCGAGGCATTCGAATATAGTTAATTTTTCATAATATTTGTTTTTGCCTACTATTTCGGCGTTTTAAGTGCATAACAAATAAAACTATTATGAAATATTAAATTTATAGAAATACGTCGAAAACTAATCGATGACTGTAGGTTGTAATATCTGAATGATTTGTTTGAAATTAAATGGATTTTTTTACGATCACATAAATTATACGCATATTAACTTAATTATAATTTTTTTAAATTTGCTAATATATTAAAATTCATCCAAATGTTCTTTTATAATTTCCATTCTTTCGTTTCATGAACGGTTATTCGGAATTTTCGCTCTTTTACTCTGAAATTTTTTTTAAACAATTTGTATCATTTCAGTTAATTCTGCAAGACAAACCAGTGGTATTAGGACCTAACTATGAAACAGAAGCTGTCTGTGTCAATTGCTTAGGTAAATAAAAATGGGCACATTCGGCTTTTTTCATTTTATTTGTTCATTGTTTGTGAATGACCCATTTTGTTCCTTTTTTCATTCGTTCAAAATTATTTTTTATTTTTCATCAATAAAATCGCTCAATTAGTAAATTTTTTCGTTTAGTAAAATTATTTGTTTAGAAGTAAACTCATTCAAACCATCTAGAAGTCGTTCATAAACAATCAAGATTGTTTGAATGATTTTAAATCGCTCATTTTTTCATTTGTTTTTTAAAAAACGTACGTTTTTTCTGTTTGACACAATCATCAATGAAAATGTTCAAACGATGCCCGATCTTTACCTGTGTAAATAGACAATTTCAAAATGATTTTCAATATTTCAGGAAGAGTTGATGGCACCTGTATATGTGAGCACTGTAATCTACTGTTCTGTGGTGAGACCTGTAAAAAATCCTATGAAACCAGTTTACAAGATAACAGCAGCGCTACAACCGGCGTCCTGCATGCCACAGAGTGTGCAGCTTTCTCACAGATGGAGAAAAAGTTCTGTGTGGAAAATGTTGCTCCTGGTACAGTAGCTTATGAATATGGGAGTATAACTGTACTTAGGCTCCTCTCCCTCAGGTAAAACCCTTCTTACTTTGTTGAAATGGTTCATTCTCTTGTATCCACCCCCAAAGAGGAGTTTTAAACGTCGAATTTGCGCTTAAACTCAGGATTTACAGATCTTTAAAAAGTTTTATTTGTCTCAAATGAATCCGAAAGAAGCTTTCAACAGCACTGCATACTCATTACTCAGTTCAACTACCTTAAATACTTACCCCGCTAAATATATACAACCCATACTCTCTTCTTTTCAGCTCTGTTTTCATTGCTCAATTCCCATGAAATCCTTTCCAATCATTTATATATTATTCAGCAAATTATATTTATAATATATTACTCAAGTTTTCTAATCAGTATATCTTTGAAACCTGATCGTGTAAACCTTTGATGTTTCAAACATCAAACAGTATTCATAGTTTGAAATATCAAAGGTCTACACCATTGGATGGCAAGGATATTGGAATTAGGAGATCAGAGTTTGTGGCAAAATTTTAGATCCCTCATCCGACCATTTTGAATTAAGTATCTTGGATGATATCTCTTATAGGTTATAGGAACAGATTTTACTGATCTAACCTATTTACAGAGATTCGGCTCCTGCTGAATGGGCTAGGTTACAGGTCCTCATGGACCATGATGAAGAGCGAAGGAAAGAGGAGGTTTACTGGAACATGTTTCAGGTTAAAACTTTGCTGGAGCAAATAAATCTCCTGCAGTGCTAACAACCTTTTTTAACTATGAACTCCAATTTACCACTTTAAAATGTCCTTGAAAATCAAATATTACTGTCTGTTAAAGTAACTATAGTGTGGTTTTACATTACACCTTGAACCGAATTGAAAGAATTTGAGCCAGTTTGCTAAACTAATTAACATCTGTTCAACTCTTGAATCACTAATTCAAAGACAATGATACGTGATTCAGAACTGAACTGGATGGTAAGTAATTCTGTGACCTCACAAAGTTGATCAAATATGATCGCTGGTGTTATATTTAAATTTGTGGACTTAAAAATTTTTTCATTACATGGATAATTAACATTTTATTACATATCAAATAAAAGAAACTGATAATCTGAGACTAAATTTAATAAATTTGAGTGATTTCTTAACTAACCATTGTAAGTTCAAATTGTACACATTGATTTAAATCCTCATGAAACTTTATCATAGAATCAGTATTTGAACTGGCCGCGGTAGCTTGCTTCAATTCATTATATTCCACTGGGAATCTAAAAAATGTAGAAGATTATTCTAGCTAATCAACAGGGTGTCCCAATAAACATGGGAATCGAGAGACGACATGAAAGTCGTCTTTGATTTCTGATATTTAAAGAATGGCAAAGAAAGTATGAAAACGAGGCTGTACGTCTTATGGGCTTTTCAAAAAGTGGTCTACCTTTCTTGTGTCTAAAATACTGACAAAAATTTGAGAAATTAAGACAATTTTGATTTATTTAATAAATTGAAATTTGTACATTTTGCATAATCCCCATCAAGTTTGAAGATTCAAAAATGGTAGACAATATTTTGAAAATCTTAAGATCAGGTGTTTTCGATATAAGATGTTTAAACTGGAATACTGCAAAAATTGTGTTGATGAAAAAATGTCTTTTAATTCCCATGTTTTTTGGGACACCCTGTACTATGATAGAAAGTGTTTAAATTCTAGTCCTCAAGGATATCTTTGATCAGTAGTGTTGTCTTTTGCTATATTTAAAATTTCAAATTAAAGGGGTATAATGTGCATGTTTAAATAGGTTTTTAGATGAAAGATGTATACGGATTAAAACAAATGATTATCTAAATGCTAGAAAATTCAATTGGGAGACATCTAATTTTTTTTAACTGTCATCTCCAGCATTTAAAAGTAAAAATGATAACGAACTTTTACTTTTCAATATTTCTCTGATTTTAATATATTTTCCAGGTCAATATCGTTGATTTTCTCCGTAAACGGTGTAAACAAGCTGATAAGTATTCAGGTGAAATGGTTTAACTATTAGTATCTCTGATAAGTATTCAGGTGAAATGGTTTAACTATTATTATCTCTGATGTTTTAATCATGTTCTTCCGCACTTATACTTTCAGAAGAAGAAATCCACTGGGCAATAGGAATACTCCGTACAAATGCGGCAAATGTAGAACGTCCGTACATGGCTCGGCAGGGTACCTCAGGTTTGTTCTACGCAATTTCACACGATACGCTTAAATACTTCCCCCGGCCCCGCCCTTCCATATTTTCATTACAAATATTTTATCTGCAATTTAGAACCATTATGTTAATGTCAAAATATTTTTCGATAGTCTAAACTAGCTTAAAGAACAGTTTGCGCGGACAATGTTTTTTTGAAAACATTAAAAAAATTGTAATTTTTTGTACCTCTAGGCAAGGCGATCTACCCAACCTTCTCCTTCTTCTCTCATTCGTGTATTTGCAATGCAAGGTAAGTCTGTGATGGCCCTAATGAATTTAAAATGACCCTCCATTCAAAAAAAATAAAGTTTCACAACTGTATTCCCTGATCTACAACAGTATATACTTGAAACCTTAACGTGATCAAAATGTGGAAAAGTACTATTTGTTCTGTGACACAAGATGCAATAAACAGTTGTATAACAACACACGCATACTTAATTAGATAAATATTATAAGGGTGCCATTGTGAATCAACATATGGCATGCAACACAAACATTCAAATACAAATTTATGTTTATAGATATATTATTCGACCTGATGATACAATGGATTTACGAGCCCAAGTCCCAATAAGGTAAAAAATAAAAATAAATTATTTTTTATTTTTTATTCTTTATTTTTTGTCAGACAAGGAGAGGAGATAACTATCCAGTATATTTCATTTCTTTTCGGAAATGTGAGAAGAAGGACGGACATTAAGGTAATAAATATGATTACTGTTGGTTGTTTGAAAAATTTCTAAATCTGCTGGTTGTTTGAATACAATTTATAGAATTGTTGATTGTTAAATAATTTCTAGAACTTTTTGCTGTTTGATTTATTTCTAGAACAGTCGGCTGTTTGAATAATTTCTAGAACAGTCGGCTGTTTACATTATTTCTAGAACAGTGGCTGTTTACAAAATTTCTAGAATTTTTTTTTATATAATTTCTAGAACTGTTGGCTGTTTGAATGCCAATGTGTGAGATGTCAAGATGTAACTGAACTGGGAACCTTTGTTAGGAAAATTCATGTTTTAATCATCAAAAATAATCTTTTATCAGATAAAAAATAATAATCGAAATATTCGCCTTAAGTCTGCAACTAGTTTTATCTTTGTAACCTAATATCATAGAACTTTGTTATTCAAAATTATGCAGTATGCAGCTGCTATAACAGCTGCATGTATACATTAGTTAGTTTAAAGGAATAAAGTCTTTGCAACAAACTCTAATTTTCTAATCCCTATATCTGTGCAACCTAGTAGTGTAGACCTTTTGTATTTCAAACTTAGATTATTTTATCCAACAGAATTCATAGGTTGAAATATCTGAAGTTTACGATCGACTTTGGGTTGTAAAGAAATAGGGATCAGAAAATCAGAGTTTGTGGCAAATACTCAATTCCCTTAACGGATTAAACTACTAGATTTCAAAGATATAGGGATTACAAAAATGAGGCCAGAAATCATTTTTTTGCAAAATAAATAAATGATATAATACATGTAACATAGTGCTTTGCTGTGTCCTAAATGTGAAGGGTCTGTTCTCCCAAAATCCAGGTAAAAAACCCCTTTAATTATCACTGTATTAATATTGCTCAACACATTATAACCACCGTTTGCATTTTTTTTTAGATAATAACTGATTTAAAATGTTATTTTCCAGGATAAAAAATATTAAAAGTAAGGAAAAATCGTCAGTTCCAGGGAAACTTTGTCATGTTTTTCAAATCAATCCTTGGGGGTCATTTATAGGTTTGATACTAACGTTTTTACGGTGTTACTTTATTTAATTAATTATAATTATAATTATTTTAAAAAACGATAATTTTAATATGCAATGCTTATTATGATCAAAATTAAATCATCAAATCTTGTTATTTTTAGTTTTAAATTCTCCAAGATGTGTTCTAAAGTTAAGAAAAAGATTTTAGAAGAGTGGGGGTACTAATTTTCTGCAGTGTATTGTCTTTGGGCGGAAAAGTAAACACAAGACGGATGTCACAGCCTGACATGGAATCCATTTTCACAAAAATAATCTATAAAATATTCTGGTCATAGAAAACTATTATGTGAATTTTCAAAATTATCAAAATTAACTACTTTTATCCTCCTCGGATACACAGATGCATATATTCTTGTTTACAAATTCCGCCCAGAGAGAACTGGTTTCAATATGTACGCAGAGTATACGCGACCGCAATTAACTTTCCTTGCAGTTGTACCTTTGGTGGGACACTGACCAAATACCAAACTTTCTTTTTTTTAATTATCGCCCTTGTGTTCTTGCCATACTGTATTCTGTACAGTGCACATCCCTATAAATCTGTAAATTCAAAATATCTCGTAATCTTTAGTTCTTTGGATGAATCAGAATGGGAGTGCATTAAGTGCAAGAATATTATACCTGACTCAGAAGCAATACAAATCTTTTCAAAACTGGAGAAAACGGTAAACACTGCAGGGTTTATCACATAGGATAAGGCTGTAAAGACGATATTTAACTGTTCAAATCTGACAATACCAAGTTTAAAGATTGAGTCTTTTTCCTTGAATGTGATCTTTAGGAAGAAAGAAGTTTAAAGTTGCTACATAACGTAGCTGACAGTCTCATCCTTTGGGGTCACCCTCAAGGAAATGTAAAAAAGAAATTAATTGTGTTTCATTAAACACTTTAAACTGATTATTTTGATATATATATCTTATAGATTTTAATTTTGTATTTCAATCTTTGAATTTTATTTCATATATTTCGTAATATTAGAAGTAAACATCAACAGGTTGCAAAGATAAAGTGGTTAGACTACTTGCTTTACTTCTCACTTTTTTGCTTACTTTCTTGATAATATTTGATAAATGTGGTAATTCTAGATGTTTGATACTTTTGATACTGATGTTGCTAAATACGAAGCATTACTAGAAGAATACAGGAAGATACTGCATCCAAACCATTTTCAGGTAATAAATCATAATAACAATAGTAATAATAATGATAACAATAATACTAATAAGAATAATAATAATAATAATAATATTAATATCAATAATAATACTAAAAACTCGTTATTTCCTTTTTTCTTGTTCTAAAATTTGGAAAAATTATTTCATCACTTGGATATTTGATGATTATGATCGATGTTCAAATTAAACATGACTGATTATCGAAATAATATGATCTAAGACAAAAAAAAATAAAATCAGAATTTTGCCTCATATTAAAAAATCACAAATTACAAAAAAAGGAGAAAAATATTTAACTTAGCAACATGCTAAATATAAATTTGCCATTACCTGTCAGTTACTCGGAAAAGGGGGATGATGGGAGACCTCCTTTTTATAAAGAAGTTAAGGAGGGAGGCTGCCTCCCCCCCCCACCNCGATTGCTCGGTTGAGTTTTAAGACTAAACTCCTATACATCAAATATACACTTCACGATTGCTCGGTTGAGTTTTAAGACTAAACTCCTATACATCAAATATACACTTCACGATTGCTCGGTTGAGTTTTAAGACTAAACTCCTATACATCAAATATACACTTCACGATTGCTCGGTTGAGTTTTAAGACTAAACTCCTATACATAAAATATACACTTCACGATTGCTCGGTTGAGTTTTAAGACTAAACTCCTATACATCAAGTAACGATTGCTCAATTGTAATTTTTCTAATCCATAGGAAAAAAGTAAAATATTAAATTTTTAAGGACGTTTTTTGATCCGAAGCATTTATTGATGTTTTTTTTCAATTTGCAAAATTGCAATGCAATTTTTTAAACCATATCAAAGCAGTAGATAGAATTTCCTCAATTACGTTTTAGATTGTCATTGAATTATCAATCATATTGACACGCCATGTAACTATAATAATCAAGTTTCTATAGTGTTAACTCCGTAACCAATGTGTTAGATTGTGAGACATAAGAACTACTAAAACATAAAGTTTAAACATAAAGTTGGAGTTTCCAACGTACTTTATCTACCGGTGATATGGTAGATTTAACGGTCTAAGAACCTATGCAGGCGCACACAGTGTAGGACCCAGCTGATCTATACCTCCCATGCAGTAACTATACTCAAAAGAAAGCATTGAATGAGCACCAAAAAACTCAAAAACCTCGTGTATGGTTCTTTAATGTAAGTTCCGCTCGTTACAGACACCCTTCCCAATCATAATGTAATTCGAGATTTTTTGTACATAACAATAAAAAAGAAACAATATAAAATTTCAAATAATTTTTAAGGAGGAGCTGAGCTTTCGCCACAGAAAAAATTTTCTAATCCCTAAATCATTATTGCAACCTGAAAGTGAAAAATCTTAGATATTTTCAACATATCATATGAAATATTAAAGGTCTTCAACATAGTGGCAAAAATTCTAGTATTAGGAAATCAGTTTGTGGCAAGAACTTAATAACTTTAATTCTTTTCCTTTTCTTGTGTGTATACTGCTGTATACGTAATTTAATAATACAGCTTGGAGATCTTTTGTGATGTAGGACACTCTTTCTTATTTAAACCAAATATTACCGAAACATAACAATTAAAAAAAACGTTCACGATCATCTCTATGTGATATCTTACATATTTAAAGAGCTTCTTACAAATAGTCTTGCCCGAAAAAAATATGCATATTCTATGAGTGATAAAAAAGGTTGTTGAAAATGTTATCTGTTTTACATTCAGAAACCCATTTATCTAGTGCTTTCAAGATAGAAGGGGTGGATAAATTCTTTCAAATGACTAACTGCAGTAGGCTTGGAAGAAAATTAAAATGTATGTTTTTAGGCAAGAATAAAAAAATATAGAGGGTAAAAATGAGGACGGTATGGCAAAAAATCACAAGGACATTTTTTCTCGTGTAAAGAAGATATTTTTTACAACATGTTCTCCAACTTGAAGGTTTACACTTACTGCACTTAAATTTGATAATTCAGTCAGTAGTATACAAAAGGAAAAATGTAGAAATACAAACATTACTGTTAACATGAAACTAAAAAACATAGAACACAAAAAAGTTGAACTATAAAGTGTACATTTAAAAATTATAAACATACATTCACACAAGAAATACACAAACCGAAACTGGCATTATCGTTGAGAAAGTTTAAAAATTACAAGATAAAGAAAGTGATTCTTCTTCAGAAAGAAAAATCAGAAGTAAAAATTAGTAAAACTATTTACCATGCTAATAAGAAAGATATTTTTACACTTTTAGTCACAACATTTACACTTAAAAAGTTTCTAGTTTACACAACACATTATTTGTACTTTATAACTTCAGTGAGATATACTCCATGCTTCGTAATTCTTGAAAATGCAGACGATGTTGAAAAAATTGTAGTACAATATTTTCTATTACTTCATTGCAGTTTTTCACATTTTATAAATGATTTAGGTGTCAACTACAGTGCAGTGTTCACTGTACAGAGTACACCGTAGTAGACGTATTATACAATGCTCTGCAAGATAACAGTACGGTATGTACACTCAGATGAAGTGGACTTCCAGAGGAGGTTTGATCATCGTCTCTAGATTTATTTCCAAATCTAAAACAAAATAAATTTAAAATCATATTCAAGTAAGGTGTAGGACTAGTTTAAAACACACAAACTATAAAACTCAGGGGTTCATCTACAGATTTTGTGACATCTTATCATTAGTCATTATTGTCTGTTAGCTATAGCTGCTGACCAACTGGCTGGGCTTAATTGGCTGATTTTTTAGGAACCCCATTGGTATCCTGGGGGTTAAACAGGCTAAAAAATTCGATTTTTTTTCAAAGATCGATTTTTTGTTCAAAATTAATTCCAAGGGCACGACGGTCACTTAAGCTAGTATGTACTATTTGTGGTTGATTTTTGTGCTTTTTTTTGGTGTACAATGTTCATCCAGAGTAATCCTAGAGAAACTTCCGGGCAAATATAACCACAGATCTAGTTCTACCTATCAGCTGATTAACCATAGATCTAGTTCAAGATGCTTCTATTATAATATATTTATATATCAGCTGATAAACCTGGATCTAGTTCTAGAAGTTGCTACTGAAATCTATCTACAGATCAGCTGATTAAATAAATTATCCAAATCTACCTTTTAACTAATTAACCATGAGCCTGGTCGTCTTCTACGAAGTCGTAAGCCTCCTCCCTAGTAACACAATCCACATGGGAAACTTTGTTCCTGAACTTCACTCCGTAGAACTTGTTTGCGTGCTCAAGCAACTCAGGTCTAAACAGAGAAATTAATTTAAAATAAACATATTTTTTATAAATTATTGAACAATATTCAATATTAGTTCAATTCATTCTTTTGAATTCAGGGGCGGATACAGGATTTAAGTGAGGGGGGGGGGGTGCAAAGGTCCTGCCGCTCCCCCCCTGTATCCAACCCCCCCTTTTGATCATATACATGTTTATTGCTGATCTTTGTAACCATATTACAATGTTTCCTTGGTATTTCCAGCCATACCGATTAGACTCGTTTTCCTTTAGTCTTCACTCAACACATTCTACATCAATAACTACCTTCGTCTGCTAGTTCATGAATCATGTCTGTGACAAACCTGAAGGTTGTTGTAATGAACTGAGCTATATGTGATAGTTCATGAATCATGTCTGCAACTAACCTGAAGGTGGTTGTAATGAACTGAGCTCCGTCTGCTAGTTCATGAATCATGTCTGCAACTAACATGAAGGTATTTGAAATGAATTAAGCTCCGTCTGCTAATAGTTCATGAATCAAGTCTTCAACTAGACCTGAAGGTGGTCATAATGAACTAAGATATATCTGCTAGTTCATGAATCATGTCTAAAACTCACTTGAAGGTTGTTGTAATGAACTGAGCTATATATGCTAGTTCATGAATCATGTCTGCAACTAACCTGAAGGTGGTTGTAATGAACTGAGCTCCGTCTGCTAGTTCATGAATCATGTCTGCGACTGCCTTCCTGTGCATAGCATCTAATGCCTGATCTATCTCGTCAAACAGGTAGAAAGGGGCAGGGTCACATTTCTGTAAATAAAAACGATCTTTACATATTTATCGAAATAATATATCGATCTTACACCCCCGCCCCCTTTTCAACATAAAAATAATCTTTTATCGCTTTAAAATGTAAATTGTACAAAAATACTAAATAGCATACATAAGTGCAATTAGCAGTTTTGAATAGTAATATGTATTTCTATACATATTAAATGCTACATCAAATTCATTATTAAAACATTAAGTTTCTGTTTCTCAAAATATGGCAGGGATATTTCTCTGTGTCCAAATACATTGTTAACTGCTAAAATAACTAAAAACCACCTGACTAGCTTCATCATTTTTTTTTGATTTTCCTCCTAATTAAAGTACTTAACCTGAATTAGTTTGTACCTGGATTGCAAAAATCAGCGCCATGGCTACCAAGGATTTCTGTCCTCCGGACAGTTGATTCATCTCCCTCATCTCGTTGTTCTTCCCAGTGAAGCTGACACTACAGGATACTCCAGTAGCATTCTCCAGCTTGTGTGCCTGATCAACCTCGTCGTCCTACATCATACACATGGTTACAAACACAATTCAAATAAAAGTTAAAATACTACCATTCGGGAGATTTCTTAAAGAAAATTAACCAAGAAACTTAACCAAGAGACCAATCTACAGGAAACCAACCTTCACCAACCTTTAGGAAACTAAACTAGAGTAAACTAACCTTCAGAAAACCAACCTACAGGAAACCGACCTTCAGGAAACTAACCTATAGTACCTAGAGGAAACCAACCTATTGGAAGTTAACCTACATGACCTAGGGGAACCCAACTAAAAAGAAACTAGCCTACAATAACCTAGAGTAAACCAACATATAGAAGAAAAAAAATGAACAACTGAGTCACTTCACAAACTTTTCAACTACACAAATACACAACAGATCTAGCACTTTCATATATTACACAATAGAAATGTGAAGTTGTTCACTGTACAGTGTACAGCAGTAAAACTATACAAAAGTACAATTTGATACACACATTGTAAATTATAATACTAGACTGGGGTTACTTACATCTTCATCCTGGTTATCTGTCTTAATACTGAGAGTTCCTCTACCAGTTGGACACAGTTTCTCGAAAACATCTTGGAAATATTTGGACACCTAAATAGTATTTTGATTAGTTAGACTATTTTATGTACTAATAAATGGAGGAAGTTGAAGTGGTTGCTTTATCTTTCCAAATTTATATTTGAATTTTATTGATAGTTATTCTTACTTGTTTGAATGTGAAGAGGATGGCCTCGAATTTCCTTTGTTCCAAGACCTCCATGAGATCGTGGATTTTCTGGTTTCCTCTGTCCAGCTCCTCCTTCCTCTTCATCAGCTTCTCCTTTTGCTCAGAGAAGGAAACATATTGATCCAACGCCTTCTTGTTCACATGAGAATACTTCTTCAGTTCCTGGTTACTCTTCTCCAGCTGTTTGAACAGCTGCTTCTGAGACATGTTCTTGTACTTGTCGAAAGCGTCGGAGGGAAGGGATCCCAATTCGCGGATTTTCTTTGTACATTCTTCGATCTTTTGCTGGAGAACTGTCTGCTTACTGGCCATCTTCTCCAACTCCTTGCTATCCTCCTCAATCTTATCCTGGATCTCACGCTCACGCAATCTAAGAAATACACTTTTAGATGGAGTCTGTATAAAAATGTAAATCGATAGCGAAGACAATTTAGATGGCTTTCATCTCAGGAATATCAGGAAATAGATCTGAAAGCCCTCCCCTGAGTTGGAGAACCTAGACCGACATCGGGTGAGCGCTCTCAAACGAATTTAGGGTGGGATGGTTCCCAGTGGAAATCTAGTCTAAGGATTTTGTAAATTGCAACTTAACTATTTATAATAAAGTACCCGACCAAACATTTTATTAGAAATCTTAGATCCATCAATTGAAATAATTACAACATAGTGACATTTTTTAAAGTGATAAAAAAGAACAACGTATAAAAATCTGCTTTCTTGATACAAAAAAACTCTACCTGCTGGCCTCTAACTCTGCCTGGGCCTTCTTCCTCTTCTTGGTGATATCAACGAGGTTCCTGTCCAGAGTCTTCATAGAGGCCTGGGTCACGGACAACCTCTCCTCCAGGCTCTAATCAAACATTTGTTATCCATTTCATTACCAGATACTTAATTAACTATTCCACTTTTCTTTTGTTCATTGTTGATTTATTTCATTTTTACATGATTGACTTTTTGATCCCTTTGTATCATACTGTCATCATTTTCTCATAGTTCAACATTTCCTCGATATACATTTCACTAATACATCATTTTACAATCAAATCATTTAACATTTTCCGCATCATTTCATCAATTAACATTAATCAGTGAATTCACAACCGTATTCTTCCTATGTTTTGCACAAATAATGAAATCCAATAATCGCCGGGGTTAGTCCTGACCCCAGGCAATCTCACCCTTCAGCGTTTCCCTTTTCGATACGCATATCAATCACGCCTGGGGTCGTCTGTTTAGTCCGCCTCGGGATTGTTTTATCAATGATCGCTGAATGTAATGGATGTAATTGTAAGCGTACCCGGATTCCGGAAACACAAGTTATCCCCAAGTTGACATTCTCGACCCAGCTTTACTTGTTACCAAAAGTCCAGAATAATATGCTTAATATTCCAAGTATATCCCCCCAAAAGTCCAGTATAATATGCTTAATATTCCAAGTATATCCCCCCAAAAGTCCAGTATAATATGCTTAATATTCCAAGTATATCCCCCCAAAAGTCCAGTATAATATGCTTAATATTCCAAGTATATCCCCCCAAAAGTCCAGTATAATATGATTAATATTCCAAGTATATCCCCCCAAAAATTCAAAATATTTTGTAAATATCTTCCAAACCTTGAGATCGTTAATAGAGTTCTCTAGCTGCTGATGCCTGTCTTCTACAGATATCTCCTGGAGAGCCTGAACCAACTCATCCTTTCTCCTAACCAGGTTGTTGGTCAGCAGGTTCTCTAAACATATCAGGTATTAATTAGCACCCGGATCAGCTCCCAACCTTCCTGGATCCAACCCTGATCCATTCGTTAATGATATAGATGACTGTACAGAAAACATTGATATTTTATTGAAGTTTGCAGACGATACTAAATTGGGACATAATGCAAGTACTGCAGAAGAATTTTTTCTTACTGGTTTTTAAGGGGTGCACCTCAACCGTTGTACACAAAAAAAAATTGATTCAAACTTAATGCAAACCTGATGCAAACCTGATCCAAACCTGATTTAAACGTGATTCAAACGTTATCCAACCCGAATCTAGATACGGAGCCAAACCTAATTCTAACAACCTGATCCCAAAATGATATAAAAAAAACATATCAAACCGTGATCCAACCCTGATCTTAACTATATCTGATATAGATCCTAACCTAATTCAAACCCAATACAATACTTTACAAGCCTAATCCAAACATTTTCCTAATAATGTTATACCTAGTTTATTCTTCTGTGCTTCTAGACGCATTCTCTCCGCGAATGCTTTCTTGTTTTCTTGTTTCAGTCTCCGGATATCATCATTGAGCTGGTCAACCTCGTGCTGGTCTTTAGAGGACAATGTCGCCAGCAGATCCTGATCAAAATATCAATTGAAAGAAATGTTGTTGTAATTAAAAAAGATTCAGAAATTTAAAAATATTTTATTTTTAAAGTTAAAACTATAGGTAACTTATTCATTCTTGAGGTACCGTTACCGAGCTTTCAAGAACTATCTTTCTTAAATTCAATCCCTCCAAAAATTTCTTATCTTTTGTGCTAAAATGGCCTAAGGAGAAAAATAAGCAATTCAAAAAATTGTCTCGTATAAAAATGTGGAGATTTGCTTTAATCGTTTCAAGTTATTACTGAGCATTGGATTTTTAGTCCAGATCTTCTTCATTTCCTTAGAACAATTAAAGTGGAGTTTCCAGAGCCACGTTTTAAAACACATTAATGTTAAAACCTCCCACCTGGTTTAACTCATTCTCTAAACCCTCCTTAGTTGTCTGCATGGCCTCCAAGGAGGACTTGAGCTGGTTCAAGGACCTCTCCTTGGGTTGATGGTTCCTCTCTATAAGACTGAGTTCCTCCTTCATGAGACGGATATCCGTCTTCACCTTGTCGAACACGTCCTTCGCCTTGCTGTTCTTGGTCTCAGTCTTCTGCATCTCAGCTACGGCCTAAGACATATATCGTTTAAAGGGACTGTTAACGTAACTTAAAATTGTCTTTAAACTAACTTTAATCCTCTATCTGAGTATGAATGTGAGTAAATAAATAGTCGATTATTTAGCTTGGCAAGGTGTTATATTCTCACAATTTTTTTCATAATCTCTGATGCATAAATCTGTATAAGAAGAGATTTCGAAAAATGCTTAAACTCAGAATTGCTTCTGGGAAAGTTGGCAGCTTAAGTCTTCCTCCCCCTGCGCGTCCTAGAAATTATCTCTGGATGATACGGTAGACCTACTCATACCACATCATTCAACAGAACTAATCAGCATTTAACTTTTTAAATCACAGAAGGTTTTTTCGAAAAAGAAAAATTTTATTTTCTAATTTTAGATTTAAACTTCGGGCTCTTCCATCTTGAAGTTTGCTCTTTGTATTTTATTAAATATATTCCAGCTTTTATAACAGAGACATCTCATTCATCCCTGATTAGACAAATCATACATAATAAAGTTTAGCAAGATCAGTTAATTTTGTCTGATGCTACCTTATTAATCTCAGATTCTAGTTTAAGATCAGTTTATGTTGTCTCACCTTATTAATCTCAGATTCTAGTTTAAGATCAGTTTATGTTGTCTAACATTATTAATCTCAGATTCTAGTTTAAGATCAGTTTATGTTGTCTCATCTCATTAATCTCAGATTCTAGTTTAATATCAGTTTATGTTGTCTCATCTTATTAATCTCAGACTCTAGTTTAAGATCAGTTTATGTTGTCTCATCTTATTAATCTCAGATTCTAGTTTAAGATCAGTTTATGTTGTCTCACCTTATTAATCTCAGATTCTAGTTTAAGATCAGTTTATGTTGTCTCACCTTATTAATCTCAGATTCTAGTTTAAGATCAGTTTATGTTGTCTCATCTTATTAATCTCAGATTCTAGTTTAAGATCAGTTTATGTTGTCTCACCTTATTAATCTCAGACTCTAGTTTGGCAAGATCATCTCTAAGTTTCCTCATCTCTTCCTCTTGTTCTTTTATCTCTTCGTTCTTCTCACTTCTAATCTTCTGAATCTCAAGACGAGACCTTGAAACATACAGGGTGTCTCAAAAAACGTGACGGTAGCCAATAGGCCAATAATGAACATTTGGGACATTTTTCAGATCTAACAAGAAATTTTTAAGTTTTGGAATTTCTCTTATTGATTTCTTAATTTCATACAAATAAAAAATAAATGACCTTAAACAAAAATAATTATTCTGCTTACCTGGATTTGTTGAAGTATCCTCCTGTTAGAGACCCTTTACTAGAGACCTGATCTCCGTCAAGTGTGACGCAGTCCAACCCTGTTGTACGTGCAAGCTGCGTAGCTACTTCCAGGTTACGGCAGATTAAAGTACGACCGAAGATGTACCTGACCCAAACAAATAATTAAGACTGATTCTACTAGTCGAGACAAATATTCATCTTAATCATCATCGTAAATAGTTGAGGGGAAATTCGGCCGCCATTAAATTGATAAAAAAGTTCTTCATTAAAATTTTCAGCGACGTAATTTAAAGGGACTGTCAACGTTACTTCAAAGGTTATATGCGCGACTTACAATTGTACCCTTTAATATTTTTCTGAGATGAAAAAAGTAGTTTGGTGAGATCCTATCAAATCAAATCAAATCACAGGGGTAGGGATGACATTGGACTCCAGAAGTGGACGAGATGTTCAAGTCCCTTCCATGTCCTGGTTTTTCAGTCTAGACTTCTTTTTAATATAACAGTGATATAACAATAGATTTCATTTTCATATTCTAATTTGACAAAAAAAAAAAAAAAATTCTAGTGCCTTTAATGTGGTCATTAGAGGTCTCATTTAGGCCTGATCTGTTCAATCATTTTGGCATTTATTGGATCCTAACAACCAAAAATACGACCTAAGTGTTTTTATATATCTAAAAGGAGAAAATGCCACAGATGGAGCAACATGTAAAAGTTAAAATCAAAGCATAGTAATTAAATATTTCAAATCCACCGCTTAAATCTCCACTCCCGGAATATCATCAAATAAAGATATTAACTATACCTGAGTGCTCTGTCATACTTCTCAACGTACTCCAGCTTGCTCACCATAGCAATGGCATCCTTGGTGTTAGGGTAGTCGATGTTTCTTACATTCAGACGATTCAATGGCATAAAGGTAACCTCCCCTGAAATCGAATAAATATTGTATCTATTCTATATACAAGCTTAATTGGGAATGGGTACCTATTGTCCTTTTGTGTCATAATGCAACCTTTTGTATCTTATTGTATCTTATTGTATCCTATTGTATCCTATTGTATCCTATTGTATCCTATTGCATCCTTTTGTATCCTATTGTATCCTATTCTATCCTATTGTATCCTATTGTATCCTATTGTATCCTATTGTATCCTATTGTATCCTATTGTATCGTATTGCATCCTATTGCATCCTATTGTATCCTATTGTATCCTTTTGTATCCTATTGTATCCTTTTGTATCCTTTTGTATCCTTTTGTATCCTTTTGTATCCTTTTGTATCCTTTTGTATCCTTTTGTATCCTTTTGTATCCTTGTGTATCCTTGTGTATCCTATAGAATCCTATTGAATCCGTTTGTGCCCTAGTGTGTCCTATTGGGTACTATTGTTTCCTATTGTATCTTATTGAATCCTATTCTATCCTTTTGTATCCTATTGTATCCTATTGTATCCTATTGTATCCTATTGTATCCTATTGTATCCTATTGTATCCTATTGTATCTTATTGTATACTTTTACCTGGTAGTTTAAGTTTATTCATCTCCTTGAGAATATATGTTCCAACTCTGTCAGATTCAACAATATGATGAAACAGACGATTTCCAGCTGTCACCTGAAAATAAAAGTGCAGTCAGTATAGAACAAGGAAGTAAGAAATATATAATTATAGTATATGAGAGAGACATTCTTACGGATCCAGAGAACCCAGAGTTTACAAAACATGAAAGGAAAGGATAGACGTGGGAGAAAAAACAGAGGAACAAAAAAATGGAAAGTAAATTTGTTTCAAAAAATGCCTGAAGTTCCATTTTTTCTTTAAAGGGAGTGACCGGCTATGTAAGGTAGTTGAACTGAGTATGCAGTGTTGTGGAAAACTTCTTTCGGATTCATTTGAGCCATATCAAACTTTTTAAAGATGTGTAAATCCCGAGTTTGAGCACAAATTCGACGTTCAAAACTCCTACTTTGGGGGTGGATACGTTTTCAGAATTAGTTTTTTAAAATTATTTTTGGGATTTAAAATGCGAGTTTCCTATGATTCAAATCAAAAAATATTTTTATCATTTTGACCTTTTGTCGTTTGACCCTTTGTCGTACTTTTGACCCTTTGTCGTTTGACCCTTTGTCGTTTGACCCTGTGTCGTTTGACCCTTTGTCGTTTGACCCTTTGTCGGTAAATCATCTTGAGTAATACAAATAATAGAAAGACTTCAAAAACAAACAGGAAAAAGGTTCACTGATATGTCGTTTAATTTGTATTCATGAGCTTTTGCCCACATCCCATAAAAAAATGTTTTAGAAACAGAAATTCAGAAATGCGCGAGTCACTTTATATAGATAGGGCACAAAATTGAAAATGAATGAAATTCAAAGGAAAGATGATGATATCTCTTGCATTCTTGATTAGACAAAACTTTTAGAGTACCATGGTGAATCACACATACAACTCAACATAACGAGAGTAACTATATACTAAATCCAGTTACTTTCAACTAACCTCTACTGCAGTATAGATACTCTGTTCACATTCAAAGTTCTCAATCACAAGTCCGTAGTAGGACTCCGAGATCTGCTTGTACTGTCCTCCACGATCCCTATATCAGGAAAAATTAAGAATTTATGATTAAACCAAGTTCTTCTGATCTTAAATAAGTTTTTTGTCATAAAACTTAAAGTGGTTTACCAAAAATAAATTCAGAAAAAATCTTAAAAAAACTTACTTGAACATATCCAACACTTTTCTCACCGAGTCCCTGCCATTGAGAATAGGTTTCCCCGCCATGGACCTGAGGGTCTGGTCCGCCTTTGACAACTCTTCCTTGAGGGAGGAGAGGGACTGCTGCAGGTTCATCTCCTTCCTGCACAGATCATTCCTCTCCCCCTGCAGTTTGTCCTTCTTCTTCTTGAGCTCGTAGAAACCCTTGTTCTGATCGTCAATAGAGGTTCGATGGGAATCCTGCTCACCTAAGTCATTCAAACAATAAATATTTTCTTTCCTTACAGGGACTGTGGTTTAATCTAAGAGACCTTTCCTTTCAAGAGGGACAAGTTATCCTTGTTGTAGTTTAAATCGGATCTATATTTTTCAAGAGAACCCACAACGGACAATATTCAATTCTCAAAGAGGCAAATAAGGATATCTCATTTATTCTTGAACAAGGTTTAAAGGGTGCCGTTGTGAATCAGACACTCTATAAATGGAGGGTTACTAGAAATTACGTATTCTGTGTCTTAACATCTAAACTTGAACAATTTAAATTCACACTACAACCAGCCCCCCCCCCCCCCCCCCCCCCCCGCCTTGTCCTGATATCAGTTTTTCCAGTTCCCTTATGTATTATGTACCTCCAAGTTCATCAATTTTAGTTTCCAGTTCATTTTTCTTCTTGCTGTCTCTTTTCAGATCTTCTCCCAATCTTTCAATCTGCTCCGTCTTATCTTTAATCTGTTTGTTAAGAGATTTCAACTCCTTCTGAATCCATTCATCACGCTGAGCCTTACTGGTGAACTGGCTTCCTCGACCCTGCTTAGCGTAGAGTTCCTTTCTCTTCTGCTCTTTCAAGCTCAACTCCCTCGTGTACTCATCCTCCTTCTTCCTCATCTCATCATAGGCAGGCTTGATGTTCTCCAGCTCCCTCTCTTTCTCCTTGATAGTCACCTTGAGCTTGTTGAGCTCCTGTTCTGCTCGCTCCTTGGAGCTGGAGTCTCCTGCAACCTCGTCCCTTAAATCCTTGAGGGTAAACTCCAGCTTCGTTTTCTCCTTGGTCTGTGCCTGGAGATCTTGCTGCAAGGTATCCTTTTCCTCCTTAGCTCCCGCCTCCTTAGACTTCAGGTCCTTCACCTCCTTGTTTGCATTCTTTGCCTTGTCCACAGCCTCCTGAAGGGCGTTCCTCAACTTCTCCGCCTCCTCCCCTGAGTTTTTACGCTTGTTATCCATGTCGGACAACTTTTTTCTAGCATCCTGTAGATCCCTGAACAGTTTATCAAGTATAAATAAAAATAAGATTTCATTTATTTGAATTTAAATATGTTTAAGACTAACGCAGACTAGATTTACACAGTTTAATAAATAAAATGTTTGGTTAAACCAATTCGTTTTATTGTATTACTCAACACATATGAAAATGTACAATGCAACTATGTAACAGTGAATATACAAAAACATATTTATGAGAGCATACTATGACAATGTATAATACAATTTTGTGTAAAGTACATGTGAGTGTGACAGTAAACAGTAAAAAACCATGTGACAAAATATATTATAAGGTAAAACCAAATGACAAAATACACTACTATCTGAAGTGCCTGGCTTTGTCCGTGGAATTTTAGAAACGTTTGAGAAAAAAGTTTTAAGAAAATCATTACATACATAGCGTACCATATCATATTAGAGTATCTCCAAGCTTAAACGTCAAATAAACACATATTTACTAAAAAAAACTGGCATTTTTTTAAAGACAATTTTTATTTTAGCCTTATTAAATTTTTCAAAATGATTCATTCTTCTTAAAATTTCTCATTAGTCCCGAAAATCGTAATTTAGACCCATTGACGATCTTATACCATGTGGGACACCCTGTAGATAGTACAACTCTGTGACAGTGTACAATACAATCATGTGACAGTGTCAATTTCAACCTGAAAAATCTGTGACAGTGTACATTAACTCTTTGTGAGTGTACAGTGTACACTGTTAATCAATCAATTAGAGTTTTAGGGATGTAGAGTTTTTAAATCCACTCCGCTCTGTATGTATAATGTTGTACCTGTCATGTATCTGGTACTCCAGCGCTCTCCTCATCTTGTCATACTTCTGATATTCCTTCAACTCCTCCTTCTCCTCCTCCAAGGTGCTTAGCTTGTCCTCTATCGTTTGCAGGAATTCCTCAATCTTATCTCGTTTACCCTCAGTCTCCTGAAATATTTTGTCATCACTTTGGAACACTATCTGTTATCTACTAAACTAGACTTTTAGTGCGCTTAGCATAACACAAAGGACAACAGGGAGCAATCTCTTCTACCCTTCCTCCTACATACCTCCACAAAACTATTTGAAGCGTAGAAACAAGAACAAGAAGCAAGAAGAAAAAAGAAAATTGGACAGGAAAAATTAGAAGGGAAAACGCTTGATATTATAGATTGGGGCTTGGTAGTACTCTTTTACTCGCGAATTCCGTAATAAATTGTAAGACGAGAGAGATTAGTACATATTTTAGGGTTAGGTTAGGTTTAGACACTTTCTAGGCCGCGAGCTGAAGTAAAGACGGGCTAGGGGGCCGAACGCTGCGGCTACTAGTTCAATTAAATAAAGAAGTTCAGAAAAAAAGCAAGATCCTCTTTAAAAATTTCTTTCTTGTAAAGTGGCGAACTACAAGGATATCAAAAAAAATTCTTTTTTTTTCAAAATTAGCCAAAATATGATTGAAAGATGTAAGAACAAGAAGAAAATGAAGAAAGAAATATAGAAATCTCAAAATATTTTTGACTAATATCATATTTATTTATAACAAAGGGCCTCATTTGTCCTCTTAAGTGACCTGAATAATTAAAAATATTCAAATTTTTAAAAAATCATTAACCGCGTTTGTCGATAAAGAATATTCTAGATTTTTGAGGAATACATGTTCATCACAGAAAGTTCAGTTCACACTGTACACTAGCGTACGTTACAGTTTTACGACAATTAGAACAATATTTTAGAGATATAAAAATGGAGTTCTTTAAATTTCCTCGATGTTCAGCGAAAGGCTGAATAATCTTTGAATGTTAGGGTCACTTGAAATTACGCTTAATTTTCTTAAAAATTCAAGGAATTTTTCTTCACTTATGAACCAAAGGAATGTCCAACATAGTTAAATAACACAATTTGGAAAATAAAAAATAAATAATTTTTTTGAAAATGATTTCCAACCTTGAGTATTCCTTTACTTTCCTCCCTCCTCTCATCATAGACCCTTGTTCCTGCAACCTCCCTCAACAGCTTCAACCTCTGAGAGTCGGGGGCTGTTGCCATCTGGTTTATCTTTCCTGAGATAACAACAACAATTATATTTTTTTTTAAATTAAATAAAAGTTAAAAGAATGCGAAGATATTGAAGTTTTAAAAAAAATAGAACTTTAATATTTTTTCTTTGCCTTTGGTTTTATTGGTGTAAAAATGTGTGCATTTAAGATCCATTTAAAATTAGTTTTCCAAATCTTCAAAAATGCTTAAATTTTGTGCAAAATCTATGTTATCATGGAAGCCTTAGCATATGGAATACAGTTCATGATATTGCACGTAGATTGTAAATAAAAATTTACTTAATAATAATATCCCAGCTCCGGTTTAACTCACCCTGTTTCACAATGTAGTACGGATTAGCTCTGGAGAATCCTGCAGATTCCAGAAGATTCATAACTTCAGACCTCGGGACCATCTTCTTATTTAGGAAATAATTATCCTTCTTAGAACCGATAACTCGTCTCAAATATACCTCATCTAGTGAAATAATAGTAATTGTAATCTCTGTTTGTCTGTTTGTTTGTATGTCCGAGTATAACTCAAATCAAATCAAATCATAAGTTGCAGGGATGACCTAAGGCCCCAGTAGTGGATCGGAGTTTCAAGTCCTCCCCATTTCTGGTTTTTCAGCCCTGGCCTTCTGCTTATAAGGAAAATATAAATTTAATGCTACTTTTTGTTTACTTTGTAGTTGCGAAGCGCCCAGCCACACGACCAAATTTGAGTCATGCCCCACTTTAGAATACCTAACATCCAAAAAACCCTTGGCCAATTTGCCTCAAATTTTGATTGGGGAACTCGGGAGAATCAGGGAAATGTGCTAAGCTTGATTTTAAGATTCAAAGTCGACTTGTAGGGAAAATTAGCTAAAATCGTACCAAGCGCGGGTAAACGGCGGGAGTAACAATGATTACCCTGGGCAACACTGGGTTTTCAAGATAGTTAATCATAATATTAACAAACACAATATTAAAAACAATAACAACAAAGAAAGTAACTATAGCAAAAAGTATAGAAGTAAGAATAAAAATTTTGATATCAATAGCTAAAATGATTATGGATAATAATCATATTAATAAACAGAAAATATTGCAAACAATAAGAGATGGAACCCTTTTTCAAGAATACGTACAGTGAATCCCAGAAATATGAATACATAGCAAGAGTTATTTATAATGTCATATTACATATTTAAGAGCAAATGCCTCGAAAGAATGAGTTTAATATTATTATATCAATTGCATTTATATTTCAGGGCTATTAATTTACCTTGGATTAAAAATAAAAAGAAGTTTGTTTAGAATTATCAAAAAACTTATGACGGTCTGTGTATTCATATATCTGGGATTCACTGTAGATGAACAGTTTGTCAGTTGGGTTTGGACAAAGGTTTGAAGAATACCAAATTGGGAATCGAGATTGTTTTTTCTTGAGTTAAGGAATTAATTTAACCGAGTCCGAATTTAATGAATTTGAGCCGCGTCTCAAATCCCCCAAAAACCGGTTTCAATTGAGTTAAGGAATTCCACCTTGGATTTAAATCTCATGTTTTCAGTCCTAACTTCTCTAATTGGAGAGTTAATGAGAAGAACTAAAATGTGACTAATTGACTTACCTTTGTCGATTGGAAGACGACCATCACTATTATCAAAGATGATTTCAACGTAGGCTGAGATAACACGTGGTCCTGTTCCCTCGTGGAGAAGAGCCTAAATTTTTATTTTAAAAATTTCACAATTTTAAAAAACAAACAAAAAATTGTTTTACAAATATATAAAACACAATGATGAGTCTAGAATAAAACAAAAGATTTAAGTGGGTTTTCAGCCCAGACCTGATTTCTTAGTTTTAATTAATAATCAATTTATAAAAATACGAATAGGACAGGTCAATAGACTAATAGACAAATAAAATTTAGGTTCCAAGCAATACGACCAAACTTGAGACATGCAAACCATTTTTGTACACCTCTCAATCATTAATTACCATCTTTAAATCTTTTTTGATTGAAAGGTTTCATAGATCTTTATTAAGACATCAAATGCGAACTGTTTGCTTTTACAATACTCAAATTTTATTCAAAAATATTATGCATTAAAACTGCAGGGTGTATACTAATCTAACCTGTCTCTGTTCTGGTCTAAGATGTGAGTACTCGTCTGATAGAACAAACTGGATTGCATAGAAGAAATTAGATTTCCCAGATCCGTTTCTTCCAACAACAACATTGTGCCCCGGGTCAAACGGTTCTACAACCGTCTGCTCACGGTAGGATTTAAACCCCTGAACAATAATGTTGAATCTGTGAGTCTAATCTTTATATATGAGTGGTATTTCAGAAGGATTATTAATTGTACAAACCACAAATTAACTGACAGACAACGAATCTTTAGAAGATTTTCTGAACTCAATCAATCAATCAATCAGACTTTAAGAGACGCCCTATGACTACAATTTCAAGATATACTTATGAAAAATCAGATCAAAAGTATTGATTTAATTTTAATCCCATTTTTCGAAGGAGAAAATTAAAATTAATCATAAATTTCTATGTAATTTTGTTAAAATCACAAACTTAGGGAGAGATTTGAAATGATTAAATAAGAAAACTAACCTGGATGATAACTTGCTTGATATACATTGCGTTCACTCAATAGCTCTTAACTTTCAAGCATAACTTTCTGAAAAGTATGTCACCAATATTTGTTTGTTTAATATGTAAAATTTACATAATGACACATATCTTCATAACAATACATCTAATTTTCATAACAATGTTAACAAAGTAAATCAAAAATTGAAAAATTACTATTCTGAATGAATATTTCAAGTATTTAAATTTTCGCGCAATCTTGGTTAAGTTCGAATTAAATTATATAATTCCCAAAGATTTGAGAACGTCGAGCTGATCTGGTGTAACCTGCAGAGAAACTCTCTGTCTTGATTCAACAGGTTGAGGTTGCGGAGTTGGAACATGTTGTGTGTAGGATTCATACCCTTGAAGGTTGGGTTGCGGAGCTAGGTTAGGTTGGGTGTAGGATTCATATCCGTGCATGTTAGAGGACACAGGTTGAGAAAATCCACCAGAGGAATCATGATTGGTACTTCCGTATTGCTGTGTGGACTGTGAATACTGGCTAGGATGTCTACTCTGCGTATATCCGTATGACGCATTTGTCTGATGAAGGTTCGAAGGGTAGCTAGGTTGAGAATGCTGTTGAAAGTGTTGCACTGGTTCTACATAATCCTGATGCTTTTCAACCTGGGCGTAACCATAGTTTTGTTGCGGGTACATTTCCCCAGAGGTTTCATATCCTGCAGCTAGTGAAGAATTCGCGTTTCTGTTTGGTTTAAATGAGTTGGGAGCACCCTCTCCTCGCCCGTCAGAGTTGACCGGAAATATCTGGTTCGGAATATGATGTAGTTCCTAACATTAAGGAAATTAAAGGGACTGTAGACGTAATTCTTCATTTATAGTGGTATTTCCAATACACAACGGTGCCCTTTCACCTCTATCTCAATGATTAAATTATCGTTATTTTTCTTTCCAAAAAAAGGGTTCCATTTTTGTTCCTCTATCACGTTTTTTAACTTATAATTGTACTACAAATCACTTTAATAGAGAATCTAATGCAATTTTTAGTACGACAAATGAGTATATCTACTATCGAGCTTATCGTTTACCAGGCAAAAGTTTATTATTATTATTATTAAGGGACAACCCATCATTCAATGAAATAGGGGTCGGCAATCCTAACCGTCGAAACAACGTATCCACGGGGTCGGCAATCCTAACCGTCGAAACAACGTATCCACGGGGTCGGCAATCCTAACCGTCGAAACAACGTATCCACGGGGTTTGCACCCTAGGGAAAAGACTTATTCTAGGCGATCTGCCCAGGACAGCTCCAGTTTAAAGGGTAACGTTGTAAATCGGAAATGCCACACTAAAAATTGCGGTTAACCTAAAATTATGTATTCAGTCCCTTTCCATTTAGTGTTGAATAAAGCAATTTCAAAAATCGTCTCTGGTTAACGGGATTCAAAACTTTATTCTTATTTTTGTTTTTGTTGTCGGAAATATGGTAATTAGGCAGAATAAGTTAAATTCAATATTTGCTGCTATCCTTTACTTTGAGACCAAGAGTTAACTTTCAGACTGTTAACTATTTAATCTCAATGCGTCGATTCAAATGAATATTTTTCTGAAAACTTTTTAATTTACTATGTTGTCTTTAAATTGGTCTTTGAATGGTCTACTATTATTAAATGTTTTGACCAAGAAAAAAAAAACTATAGCTGTAAGAAACCAAGAATTTAAGCAAAAAGTTTGAATAAATTACGAACAATCATTTCTAAGGGGTTATCCTTTTTGAGTAAACCCTGTAATAATGAGCTTCTTCCTACTTATTGAAGTAAATCAGTATTTGTAAAAACTGTGAGATGGGGTTTAAAAAATTTAAATGATTCACCGACAAACGACCTAGGGTCAAATGCCACAGGGTCAAACGACATTGGGTAAAACGACATAGGGTCAAACGACAAACGGTCAAAAATGTGACATAGGGTAAAACGACAAAGGGTAAAACGAAATAGGGTCAAAAAGTGCGACAAACGGACAAAATTTTATGTAGACTATTTTTGATTAATTTGAACTATTTTTATGTTCATTATAACTAGTAGCTGCAGCGCGGCCCTCCAGCCTGTCCTAGCCGTAGCACTTATCCCAAAAATTGTCTTTACCTAACCTAACCCTAAAACAATACATATTTGTATGGTATGTTTTTTTTAATTTGAACTACCAGCCTCAGGCTCGGCCCTCATAGCCTGTCCTAGCCGCAGCGCTCGGTCCAGAAATTGTCTTAACCTAACCTAACCCTGAAATGAAACATAAAATATTTTTTTCATTTTGACCCTTTGTCGCGTTTTTGACCGTTTGTCATTTGACCCTGTGTCGTTTTAACCTGTGTCGTTTGACCCTGTATCGTTTGACCCTAAGTCGTTTGACCCTATGTCGGTGAACCATGGTTATCAAATCAAGTAGATATCTGAAAGGGGACCCTAAGTGGAACCCTCAGACTGCCATCAGGGCGCTATTCACCACCGTGCAGATAGCGGCCTGGAGTCCCTACATAGCCCTATTTGTATGCTGTACCTTAGACTTGGAGCTAGCTCCTCCTCTTCTACTATTAGTTTGAGTGATGTGTTCGCCACGCTGACCCTGAATATAGAAAAACTTTCCATATCGCTCCTTGAAAATTTGAATTTGATTAAAAACTAAATATCCCATGACTAAAATGATAAATGATTATCAGTGGATAGACAAATTTCAATAGCGAATAGTGATTAATAGAAAAATAGGGATTTTATACCATCAAAAAAATTACTGCGGAAAAATTGTATCTGGATAACAATAGCTATAAGATCTAACCCAGATTTCAAGAATAGCGAGAAGTTATTGAACTGTGTATACGTAGTTGAGCCACATATCTTTAACGTAAATCGGGGTACAATAATAATGGTTCAATAATGTAAACGCGATTAAACTTGCTCTCGCTATTTATTAAATCTGGTCTCTGAAGAGAGAAACACATGAGATTAGAAAATTATTAATTTACCTGTCCCGGCTTAACAACCGAAGCTCTGGCTCTAGGAGAACCCCTGGTTCCTCTTGAGACTATCTGAGAACCTCTAACAGAGGGAGAACCTCTGACCGGAGGAGATGCTCTGACCGAAGGAGATGAACTGACCGGAGGGGATGACCTGACAGTAGGAGATCCTCTAAGTGAGGACGATCCTCTACCCGGTAAATATCCTCTATTGGGTGTGCATCCTCTGATAGGAGTTCCTCTGGAGGATGAGCCTCTTGGTGATCCCCTTAACCCCCGGCCACCACTTCGAGATACGTCACACCTCACGGGGAACCCGCTCATCTAGATAGGAATTGAGTCTTTGACACAAACTCAAATTTTCTAAATATATATTTGCAACCTGATAATACAAACTTTTGATATTTTAAGCATAACCTATTTGATTTAATAGAATTCGTAGTATGAAATATTAAAGGTCTACGACATTGGGTTGCAAAGATATAGGAATTAGAAAAGCAGAGGTTGTGACAAAGACTCCATTCCTTTAAGACAGATTCATTGAATTATAAGAAATTTTTTGTTGTAAAAAGTAATGCCACTCACTCCCCTGTGACGGACCGAAAAAAATGTAATTGATTATTTAGAATAACATACAAACCATTATCAAGTACTCCCAATTGTATCTATAACTTAAAAATAAAAAGAAACCTTACCATGTGATTCGATTTGTTTCCTCTACTAGGTCCAACTTCTCCGGGTATCCTTGGTCCCAGAGATCGCTGTACACCAAGTCCCCGTGGGTTACCTTGGGGTCCTGGATAAGATTGAGTTCTGGAACTACGTGAGCCTCGGCCTGGACGAGTCCGGACTGGAATAGGTCGACGAACTGTACCAACAGCTTGTGTGTACTGCACAGAACTGGCCTGCATAGTGTACTCAGATGTCCTCTGGTTTGAAGAATAAGAATCAAGGGAAGGATAATTGTACAAATCAATATTATCAGAGAGAAACTCAACATCATTATCAAGAACTTGAATATCATCTTCATCATCTTGAGCGTTCAATGTAAACTCACTGATTGTTACAGCACTGGAATCCCTGGACTGTGGCAGATACTGAACAGCTTGGGTAGGATCAGGATCAGGATCATATTCAACAATATCTAGACTAGTATCTTGATCAGTCCGGGGCTGAGGAACAAGGATCACATCACTTGAGGAACTCGCATAGGATCTGGTCTGGCTGGGAACTTTGGAACCCTGATATCCAGTCTCAAACGGAGGAATAATCCTTATTCCAGGTAAATTCTTTAGTTTGACACCCACAGAGGCGGGGATACTTGAACCTTCCTTCTTATAGTTGATAGGGCTGGTCTGTGCGATATCAAAGTTTGGTTGGATTGAGGGAATAACAGGAAGGGTCTGAGAGTTAGGCCCAGTTATATCCGGTTCAAGTTTATATAAAGCCAAAGGATACTGAGGGGGGCTCACAGCTTTCTCTCCACTACTGCAATAAAATCTTATATCAGTATTGGGATATTGTGTTACAAAAAGATTTAGGTCGTACTGATTTTATCGCTTTAGTGGCAATCATCAAGAATAAAAATAATCAACAAAATACAAGAAATCTAATTGTAATTAAAAACAAGCGATTTGTACAAAAAGTTGATGGATTTCAAATATCAATTAAAACAAAAAATCTAAATCTTTCCTCTTTTGATCATATTTTTTTCATCAACTTTAGATTTAAGTACCTTTCAAAAATAACTGCATCATAGTTATCAAACACAGTTTGACTCTCATCTTGAGGTAAAGTTACAATATTTACATCTGAAGTATCATCCCCATCTCCATCCTCCTCCTCCTCAACCCCTCCCACCCTCTCCAGGAAGTTGAAGACAGGATCAACAGGTTCAACTGGATCCTCAACCTGAGCTCCAGGTTTAGGAGCAACTGCTGGGGAACACTCCTCCTTCAGAATAATGTCATTGTAATTATTGTTGTCACTGTTGTCACTGTCGTCAAGAATTTCAACGTTGTCATTGTTGCCGTTGCTGTTGTTGCTGTCGTCATTATTAACATTGTCGAAACAGTTTTCATTTTTGTACTTGGGTTCTCTTTAATAATAATAATAATAATAATATCTTTGTATCATCGTGTATTTGTAGTGATTATTGTATTTATCTTCATTGCTCTTACTGATGTCATCATCGTCATGACATATTTAAAAATCAAACTGTACCTTAATCTTAGCAGGAGTTAAATACGTGCTGAAAACTTTGACAATCTAGAACAAAAGATAGAAATTAAGATACAAAGAATTTAAAAAATAAAAAATAAAAAATAATAAATCTTAAGATTTTCTTAGAACTCATTAGATAAATATGAAAAATAATGAATAAAAAAGATTTAATTGATATGAATAAATCTTACCGGACTTTTTTTCTTTGGAGTTCTTGGTAATTCTTCTAAAATATAATCTAGGTCTGGTGTCCCGGTTCTTAGGTGGACTGCTTCAGTTGATACCACAGTAGAGGTCATGGAGGTTGGCCGAGCTTCAGTGGTCTGAGTTTCAACAGCTGCAGTTAAACAAGGAAGAGTGGCGCTAGCAGTAGGTGAACATGGAAGAGAAGAGCTAGTAATAGTTGAGCATACAGGAGTAGCTCCAACAGCAGTTGAAGATAGAGGAGTAGCGCTAGCAGTATATGAAAATGGTGGAGTAGCTCTTACAGTAGTTGAACATGGAGGAGAAACTCCAGCAGTAGGTGAGAATGGAAGATAAGTAGAATCTGACTGTTGAGAAGGATTCAGCAAAGACTCCATTGAGAAGTTAAAAGAGTTGTCAACAGCAGCAAGATTGACCGGTTTAGATGGATGTGTTTGAGGAGGAGAAAGTATCACAGTAGTTTCCTCTACATTCACTTCTCCAGGATCCGGCTCAGGACTGCTGTCTCTTGACAGACTATTTGGCGTTGACGTATCTACTCTTAGCCCTAGAGCTGATCCTGAGGTGCATTCTCCAGGTTTATCTGGAAACTGTCCAGGACCAGAGATCATTTTCACAGCCCAGGTGTGAGATGAACTACTTGAATAAGAGCTAGCGGTACTTTCTCCCGAGTTAAATCTTGACTTAGCTCTGGAGCTACATCTTGACTGTGCACGAGAGCTGGATCTTGACTGTGCACGAGAGCTGGATCTTGACTGTGCACGAGAGCTGGATCTTGACTGTGCAGGAGAGCTGGATCTTGACTGTGCTTGAGAGCTTGATCTTGATTTGGATGCAGAAATAGAACTTAACTTTTGCTTTCCTCTTTTCCTTGATCCTTCAATGGGATCCTTAAGGATCAGTTTAGCCTTCCATTTCTCATTAGAACAGACAGTGGGGACCCTTTAAAGGAAAAAGTATTGAACATATAATTACTCAAACAATAAGAAATTCATAAATGTTCAAGAAATTATTTACCTCCTATGCTGTGAAGTTGGTTCATAATGACCACTGCTTACATCACTCTCTACCTCACCTCCATTCCCTTCAGAGGTTCTACTTCCAGAGCTCTTTCTTCTCTTCTTAGATTGGGTTTCCTTACTTCCAGCCTTGCGCTTTTTTGTGTTAAGCTCGTTACGGTAGGACATTGCCTAAAATGCGCAATATTGATGTTTCATTAAAACAAAAACAAACAAAAAATGAGATTTGATGTTGAACATTTTCAAAAACTTATTAAAATGGTTGATAACATGCAATTATGATTTTCTGGCCCTATGATTTAGCCTTGACTTAAGTGATTATTATTATTATTATTAATATCAGACACCCCATCATATAATGAAATAGTGATGAATAATAATAATCAAAACATGGATATAATGAATCAAAATTTGCGTATTTTCCTTTTGAGTTGGTGGGGATATTCCCAACTCCTCCCAGACATTCCTACAACCAACTATATCTCCGGAAATAGTTTCCTCATTCACAGATTTACTCACAGTTGAAGGTTTGACAACCGGTTTCTTCTAATACACAAATATAACTAATCCTTGCTTTTAATTCAAGTATATTTTTGAGATCTGAATTAATGTAAGAACTATGGACCTTTCCATTCAATTGTTAACAAAGCTTGTATAGTAGCAGGGGCATCTGGTTATTCAACTGTAAAGGAGGGGGGGAGGTGCAAACGATGTTCCTTTACCAATTTTTCAAAGAAAATTCAGAAGTCTTAATTTCAGTAAAGAAATAGCGAACAATTTCAGATATTGTTCTTCCTGCACTTAGCAATTGACAGGATACTAAATATCCTGTCAAAGGATGTCGTGAAAATCGAAGTTAAAAAACGTAACGCCAAAGTTTCAGCATAATTGATCTTCACAAGAAGTTTCACCTTTGGCACTTTTGGTTTAGCAACAACGTATGTTTTTAAATCATCATTTTCTTCATAGTTCATCTTCTTCAAGGCTTTAGCTACCATTCTAAAATAAAAGAAAACTAGCAAACAAAAAAATCATAAATACTATAAATTTTCGATTTTCACAATATTTGAAAACGCTTACATCTCAGATTTTTCTAATATTTCAGCTCTCTGAAGCCACCAGGAGGAAACCAAGCCTTAAAATATAATAATTGATATTTTATAACAACTCAATCAATCAATAAACTATTCAAAATAGTAAATATAACCATTTTATCAATTAATCAATTAATAAACAACCAATCAATGGTTAAACCAATCACTGGTTAATTCAATCACTGGTTAATTCAATCACTGGTTAATTCGATCACTGGTTAATTCAATCAATGAGTATATCAATGAATGATTAAATCAATGAATGATTAAATCAATCAATGATTATATCAATCAATGATTAAATAAATCAATGATTTAATCAATCAGTGATTAAATCAATCAATGATTAAATCAATCAATGGTTCAATCAATCAACTATTCAAATAGCTATTAAACCCAACCTTCAGTTAAAGACATTTCCTTGGCAACATCTGATATTTTCCTCCCCTCCATCTGCCCTTGCTCAATCTTCTCTATAACCGTGAGCTTTAGTTCTATTGGATGAAGATTTCTTCGTCCTCCTGGGCCTCCTCCATACATTCGAACTTTCGAGTACTCACTTCCTTCATCAAACTCATTTTCAGGTTCATCTAGAGAGCTGTTTGATAAATTTTGCGCACCTTCCATATTGAATTTTGAATCGTGCGCATGTCCCGCGTTTGATTTTGAATGAAGGGCATCTCCAGCGTTAAATTTTGACACATGCACATCTCCTGTGTTAAATTTTGAACCCTGCGCATCTCCTGTGTAAAATATTGAATCTCTGAATCTGTAATTAATCTCTTTTCTTTTCTTGTCCGCGATATTGGTTCTTAGGTTTGCCAGCATGCGCAAATTATTATTTGTATCAGATTGTTCGGAGTTGTGAGGTAATATTTTGTGACTTGAATGCATGCTATTCTCGATGTTATCATCCTCGTTCGTTAATTTATTTGAGACTGAAAGAAGAGAATTAAAATCTATAAAATCTAATATTTGTTTAAGGTTTTATTACCTAGATACTGTTTGCATATAAAGTATTTTCTACATGATTGTTCCTGAGCGTTCTTCAGAGATTCCATGGATTCCTGTGATTTCCCCCGACACTGTTCGTCCATAAGAGATTCCATGGATTCCCGTGATTTCCCCCTACTCCTCTGTAACCCTCTCCCCTTCATTTTAGTTATATTTTAACATTCATACTCTGAAATTAATACTAAAATATAAATATATATAACTTAAAATATAAATATTTATAACAAAGATTTTATATATAAATGAATATGAAATGAATAGTAACCAGTTATGCTTAATTATCTGGGGCCAAGTTTAGTGGATAGCGAGAAATATTTTAATTACTTAGGACTAATTTGAACTGCACTGGTTCAAGTTCCAGATGTATGGTTCACATTGGTCTAACTATTTCCCACAATTCATTAAATTTGGTCTCAGAATTCTCTTTTGACCAGGGTTGAAACCACAATTTTTTCCTTCAGAAGTTTGATAAATAAAATTGATCTTGAATATATAAAGGTTTTCCATAAACAATATGCATTTTAGTCTGAACTTTCTCCAGCAGTCTTCCATAGGACCTCTTCCAGGGTTCAGAGTTCTCGAGTTTTAGGATATTCCTGTAAACACACTTCAGGATTATGCTTACCACATCTATCTTCTTTGTGGAGATCAAGTCATCCAGGAACTTGGTCATGATTAGGGTATCTTCCTCCATAGGGTCCATGGTAAACTTTAACCATTCCTACATTCAGACGTAATATTTGACAATAGACTAATCCTTCGCAATGCTTTACATTACCAGATAGTAGGAGAGTGGAGGGTATGAAGTTTAACTCATTTAAGATAATTTAAAAATGTTCTTTGATATTTGGTTTTACAAAATCCGGGAGAAAATTCAAATCTAAATAATTATAAATGTGAAGAAATGTGTTAAGATTCTGGGGGGAAATGATTTAAGATAAAAGCTGAGTTGTAAACGCTCGAAATATAAATTCTACAGAGGTGTATGCAGGGGAAAGGGGGGGGGGGTTCAGTGCCCGCCACCGAAACTCTACCTGTACTCTAAGGGAATCCCGGAGCATTGCGTTTATATTCCGAGGTCGAGATCTTGCTGTAGAAGTTCGAGAGGGTTGTGTTGCTTGTAGAAGATTTAGGGTAAGAGTTGTTGATGTGGAGATGGGGAATGTTCATGAAAACAGATTGACTATAGCCCCTGCCTTCTACCTGGTCCAGGTGGACCTGTTCGGACCGTACCAGGCTGTGTGCGAGCATAACCATCGGAGCGTGGTTAAATGTTATGGAGTGGTTTTCAAGGATCCGTCAACCTCTGCTGTAGCTATTTTTATGATGCAGAATTACTCAACCTCTGCATTTCTCCAGGCTTATACCCGGTTTAGCTCCAGGTATGGCCACCCTGCTAAGATGTTTATTGATGCTGGGAGCCAGTTGATCAAGGCTTGCAAGGAAGCGGAGTTTGGAATTGTGGACGTTGCCCGAGAATTATCTACCAAATACCAGGTTGGGATTGAGTATCAAACCTGCCCTGTAGGAGGTCATAACGCACATGGAGCTGTGGAAAGAAGTATTCGTGAGATTAAAACCTTGTTAAACCGAGTGTACTCAGGGTTGAAGTTAGACTTGATCTCATATGAAACTTGCTTTGCCTGGATTGCAAATGAGTTAAACTGTTTCCCCCTCTGCCTAGGAAGTAGGACGTCTAACTTGGACAACCTGGATCTGATAACCCCGTCAAGATTGTTGCTTGGACGAAACAATCGGAGGTCCCTTGGAGGATATGTGAAAATGGAGGGACCGTCACGGTTGATGGAGCAGATGGAGAAGGTCTACAGGAGCTGGTGGAAGGTCTGGAAGGACGAGAAATTGGTGGATTACATCCCTCAGTCCCCCTTGTGGAAGACGACATCAGGTCAACCTGCAGTTGGAGACATTGTCTTGTTCCTGAAGTTGGAGTCTGAAGCTTCTTTTGGGTCCCCTGTCTGGAGATTAGGACGTGTGGAGGAGGTGGAGTACTCCTTGGACGGGATCATCAGGACCGTTGTGATAAGTTATAAGAATGATGGTGAAAACAATTTCAGGAGAACCCGGAGGAGTGCTCGGAAGATTGCTGTACTCCACCACGAAGGTGATCTCGAGCTTGTTGAGGAGCTCAATGAGGCTTCTAAGCTTGCAGGTCAGCAGTTCTTTCTGAGGAACCCGAAGATGTGATAATAAACGGAAAAAGTGAATTCTGTGAACCTATTTGTTGATTAGCTGGTGAATCCAGCGTTTTTCCGGGCAGTGTAAAACCTATACCTAAAGCCCTATTTAGGAAGTAACGAGGAGTGACGAACCTAGTGATCACACAAACCTTGAACTACAACAGGAGCTGGATCCACATCTAATCATCAATCCTCATCTTCAAGCTGCAGAAGTTATAAAGTACTTTCTATTTAACTCTATATTTAGCCATATTTAACGAATATTTTACCTTATTGATTGAAAGCATATTTAGCCCAATTTTATTATATAACTGAAAGTTTTATTTAAAAGATTAAAGAAAAAGATTTTAAACTTATATGTATAAAAAAAGGAAGCACGTGCAATACCATCAATCTTAAAGCTGTAACCATGTATGTATATAAACATATTTACTCAGAAACATTCATTAAAAATATTTAACTAGAGGCCTTTTTCAGACCAAACAATATGGTCATGTTTGAATGCAAATCCGAATAAATTCTCTACGATATAAACCAAAGGTTTGAGAAATATTATAATACTGTACATTCTTTAACGTACTGTATTACTTGTACATGGGAACAGTGTACACGTTGTTGTACCCTGATCTCATCCCTCCCCGGTGCATCGACAATATATACCCCTGTTCAGGAGCTGAGGACAATATCGTTGTATCCTGACCCCAGCTGACCGGTTTAAGAGAAGGAAGACAGGTGTTGTTCTGACACTTGTACAAGAAAGCTATACTATAAACCGTAGTTCTGGTGCTACTGCTGTACCTGTACCTCGACGGAAGAAGATTGTGCTTGTACTATAGAATCCTGGTTTGACCTGGATAAGAAGGAGACGCTGTACTCTTTGGACCTGTAAACATGAAGCTGTCCTGTTATTGCAGCCATGAGTTATTTACAGGTGTGTTATCTCTCACGTACTGCTGTACCGTTGCTGTACATTGTACTCGCAATCTTGACCATTATCTACTCTAACGTGTTCAGGACTTGAAGGAGAGTGTTGATAGTGAGTTGAAGATTGAAAGGAGATTGTTGTTCCCTGGAGTTGATAACCTGTTAGTTGGAGCTGAAGAGGAGTATGCTGAACCTGGGGTGAGAGCTAGATATTCTCAAACCAAGAAACAGATACCCTCCTGGTCTAGTGAGCTCTGACCAGAATGTTAACAGGTGTGTTAAACAATGATTTAAAAGTGAATTTAAGTCTAATAAAAACTATTTAAGGAGTAAACCTTTGGAGATAAGGGGATCTGATTAAATAAACAGTCTCGTCAAGAAATATACCTTCGTGGACGGTGCTCCACGTACTCAGTCGATGCACCAAATGTAAGCACTCTTTTTTAACATATTCGTGTGATTGATTGATTGTAAAATAATGATTAGTTGATGGTATTGCTTTAAAAATTGTCAAATTATATGGAGCTGATTAATATTGTGATTTATCTTTTCAGTTTCCACCGCAAGACGTGCTTCCTCGTTCCTAGAGTATAAATGAACTGTGGATATTTACAGAAACAAGCGCGTGAGAAATGGGTATGATGACTGAGCCTGCGTCCGGCATTTGGCGTGAGGACCTAATTGAAAATTAGGTGAGAAATGCACACCCCCCTCCGGACAAATTCCTAAATATGCCCCTGAAATCCTACCTTGATGAGTGGACGTATCTCTGAAATGCTGGCTTTACCACAGAAGGTTGGAGTTGGTATCGGTTTACGCATATTTACTTCCGTGAACTGATCGCTGCTATTACTGTTAGAATTCTCATTGATCATGTGAAGCTTTAGGTCCCGGTCCACATGTTTTCTACCAATGTTTGCAGAGCTTTTGGATCTTAGATCTGTTGATGATCCTTTTTTGGGTCTTCCCCGACCTTTTTTAGGACTTGTTTTTTTAGGAAAGATTCTCATCAAAGTATCAAAAGCAGTCTCTACCCTTGGCTTCTCTTGCTGCTGAAAAAAAAATTCATCAATTTTTTACATAAATAGTCATTGGTGTGCACTAGACCTAATTCTGCTTTGGGTTGAATTTAATTTTGTATATTTTGTTTTTATCTGATATTTAGATTATAGATATAAATAAAAATAATAAACGAGACTTCAACTTAAAAGAATGTACTGTAAAAATTATTGGGGAAATCAGATTTTACTAAATTCAACTAGGAAAAAGATTTATTACCTTCTTTCTGTCCTGAAAATGAGTTGTTATTTCATCCCTCAGTTCAATCGGAAGTTCTGATAAAACTCCACCATCGATCTTATTAATATTAAAATATATAATAAAATATATATCAACGTAAATAATATGACAGTGCCCAAAGACCTGATGTATTTACAAGTGACGAAGATATCTTAGATATTTTTAATCTCAAAGTTTATAATCTTCAGTCGCAACTATGCTGAAAGCAAATTATCAAAACTAGAATGAAGACGACCAAGAAATTGTTAGGATAATCAATGTGTTTAAAACCAAGGTGGGGTTGTTAGAATCTTTGTTGTTGTTTTGATCCAGAGCGTCCCATATCATATTGGATTATCTCCAAGTTTGAAACCAAAATACGCCACATAAAACTCTAAAAGCCTGGCATTTTCTTAAAGAAAATTTAATATTACCCTTTTACGCTTTTATTAAATGATTCATTTTTTTAAAAATTTCTAATTATTACCCTAAAATCTCAATTTACGAGTTATAAACGATCTAATATGATGTGGGTCACCCTGTATTACTAAAATCTCAATTTACGAGTTATAAACGATCTAATATGATGTGGGTCACCCTGTATTAAATAATAATAAATAAATGTATCAACTAAACCATTGTGGCTACTGGCTGGAAATTACGTTAACAGACCCTTTAATGATATACATTGTGGAACCAATACCTGAGAAAATGAAAGATCTGAAAGATGTTCAGCACCAGATTTTGACCCTCTCGGCTCTATATTCTCCTTCAAGGTTGAACTAAAAAATCAGTTTCATTTTTAATTTTCCCTTCTCTAAAAAACAATAAGTCGAGCCCTCAAAAAAGTTTTAAAGAGTTTAAGGGATAATGGTAGAAACTTTAAATTATGGGATAGTTTGAGCAACCTTGACTTTGTCAATACTTCTCTCAGAAACTACAGAAAACTTTTTGGGGTTTTCCTATAATCAAGATTCCTTAATAGTAGATGAAAGTTGATTTGAAAAGCTTGAACGATTTGAAGGGACATTCGGCGTAATTTCAATTGATCCCTATTTTAAATACAGAGCTTCATGCCCGACTCACAATGGTACCCTTTCAACCTATATCAGAGCAACAATTTAAAAGATATTGCTGCTATTTTATTTGGAAAAAGTGTCTCAGCTGCATAAATCTCCAAGTCATAAGTGACCCCTATTCCTTAAAAATCTCCAAGGTTAAGAGACCCCTATTCCTTATTCCAAATAGAAAACAAGAATTTCTTCTTCATTTCACCTCAAATGAAGGTTTAAAGAGTACCGTTGTGAAATTTCCTTGACAAAGACAGTCCCTGTAAGCTTGAACGAAGATGTTTTATCTTACCTTGGTCCTGGAATACAGTCCTCGAGGGATAAATCCTCTAACCTCCTGGTCCTAGAACCTCCACCAATATTATACTCAGAGAGTATCTCATTCCTAACCAGTGCAAATAATCAATTCAAAGCATCATCAAAAGCAATGTTTGTCCGATCATAACTCAGGAACCCCTGAACCAGTTTGCCTCAAATTCTATTGGGGAACTCGGTAAAACCACGAGATTGTTCATGGCTTGTTTGTTTATTCAAGTGCGGGTAAACGGCGTGATTAACTATGAGTAACCTGGGCAGCGCCGGATTCCAAAGCTATTATATAGAATTTAGATTATAGATTTTAGAGGAAATAATCATTTTAAATATTAATTGTCAATAAGTATTAGATTACTTATATTGTATTCACATGCAATGCTTGATTTATTTCCTAATATTCTCTGGTAGTTGAGCAAACACTTCTGGATCTAGATTATGCTCTGCTAATACAGTTTCATCACTCTTTTGCTTTTCTGGTTCAGGTTCAGGTTGAGCTACTTGTTTAGGTACTTGCATAGGTTCTTGTTCAGGGACTGGTTGAGGTTTAGGTTCCGGGTTCAAGGGGTTAAATGAGCTCGAACTTGCATTAATCTGTTATTAAGGAAATAATGCATCTTATTTTAAGACAAACCCCAATAATATACACACAAAGTAACACACACTGTTTACATAAAAAACCAGTGCCGACTCTCTTAGATCTACATTTTTTGACCATCCAAAAATAAACCCAAAGAAACAAGCCGATGTCCCCTCTTGCACACCACATGTCATCATTTCAAATGGCAAAAAGGGAAAACGTCGCTTTAAATGAATTCTTTTAACTTGTAAATGGAGAGTGAGAGAAGTAGTTGATTTTTTTACTCTTCAAGACAAAACGGACACTTTTCCTTTCCTTTTCTGGAGATATATTAGTGGAACTATTCTGATTCGAACCTGACTGATCTTTTATCTTGACAAATTTAAGAATAGAGTTTCCAGAATTGGTTTTCTTCTCATCTAATCAACATTTCGGTAAAAATAAAAAGATGAAAAAAAAATAATTGTTTCTAAACATTTCTGACAAAGGATTGAGGAATGAGGAAGGCCCACCAACACAATTTCTACTAATTTTCTAGTCCGAGCCACCTCGAAATCCTCGTCCTTCCAATATTTTTTTTAAGTGTTTAATCCTACCAGATAAAACTTGTTTTCAATAATCGGGCCACGTTAGGCCATAAATGAAAATTAAATTTTTGCAAATCGTAAAAAAAAGTTTTAATTGAATTCAAATTAGTTTTCAAATTTAATGTCCTTAAAAATGTTCACCTTTTTTACGCGCATTTTCCTATATTCCTGATGTCGAATGCCGCAAATAATTCCGCGTTTATAGAACTTCAATCTCTTTTGCTAATAACAGTGATAAAATTTTTCCAGGTGGTTCCATGGGGAAAATGATAGGCAGAGGTATGCAAACCATTTTGCTTTTATTTTATAACGCGAAGGTTAGCAATTACAGAGGCAATAAAGATTTAAGATTTTCCTATATAAAGTTTAACATCACTCTCATGGGTTTGAAGATTCCAACATGATGTAATCATTGCAATACTTTAATATATCAATATTTGATGCCCTGAGGTGACCAGATTTTAAAAAATAGTATTATCTTCGAGATTTGGAAACTTTTTAACACATAATAATCGAAGGACGAGGATTCCGAGGTGGCTCGGACGAGAAATGAGGAGAATGGAACTCGGATGAAAAATTACTGAGACTGGCCATCCCCCCCTCATTAAGGGAAGAACAGATAGCTTGTATCAATTCATGTGCTATTTCAAATCATGGCTCTTTTATAAAATGTGAGAAATAAAAAATTCATTATTTTACGATATTTTTTCTGAATGTTTTCCTAGTTTAGAAACTGATATTCCCACTCCCCTGATATCTTGAGGTTTAGTTTCCATTTGTTTTATCATTGAGAGAACTTGATTATATATCCGGGACTGATCAGCAGTACCGCTACCCAGCTGAACAGACCTAAACAGTTTGGTTCACACACTTTTAATAATTCACAAAGGGACTGGTCGCACCATTTCAAGGGTCCTTCAATGCAAAAATGGCAATGACCGATTCAGAACGGCACCCTTAAAAGCTTTACCTGATTATTTTCAATTGTGGTTTCTCTAAGAACGTGAATTGCGTATTTCTAATGCGGAAAACATATTGGAATTATCAGAATTTAATACTTATAATAAAGTTAGACGACAATATCTTTCACATTAATGATCGAATAAAGGTTTAAAGGCCGGGTTGTGAATCCGGCATTCCAATCTCTGCATGGAGAGTCATTTTAAATTACGCTCTCAGTCCCTTTAGAAACAAGTTTAAATACATAGTTTAGCTTCATGGAGTTTAGAGCTTTATCAGATTTTAGAAAAATAAATGCTTCTGCTTACTGATTAGTTAAATTTACAGTATCCTTATTCCTCATTGGTCCATTCCTTGAACTTTGACCAATGAAAGAAGAGAAAAAGTAAAATTCATCTTGTGAATTTCAAAGTTTGACAGCCTTCAAAAGTAACGCTTTTAACAAATGTATGATGCAATTTTTTAAAAACCAGAATTTCCGTTATTATCATAAACCTGGTATAAGCGTTTTACCTTGAAACATTATCACAAACTCCATGTCCAAGAAACTTGGCAGTTTCAGTCGGAGCATTTTCTGCTCTTACCATCAGTTTCAGAGTTATGCATCTACCCTTGGTTCCCAGTTTCTCTAGTCTACTAGATACCTCTCCTATACATATATATTATCTATACTAGAGCTATACATCTACCCTTGTTTCCCAGTTTCTATAGTCTACTAGATACCTCTCCTATACATATATATTATCTATATTAGAGTTACACATCTACCCTTGGTTCCCAGTTTCTCTAGTCTACTAAATACCTCTCCTATACATATACATTATCTACTAGAGTTATAGATCTACCCTTGGTTCCCAGTTTTTCGAATCTACTAGATATACATATATATTATCTATACCAGAGTTATACATCTACCCTTGGTTCCCAGTTTCTCTAGTCTACTAAATACCTCTCCTATACCTATATATTATCTACTAGAGTTATAGATCTACCCTTGGTTCCCAGTTTCTCTAGTCTACTAGATACCTCTCCTATACGAAAACGACCAAGCTAATATTGCTTGATTCACTTCTACAAGAGGTCTTTCATATGCCGAGCTGCTCTTGAAAAATCTATTTTTCTAAAAGACAGCAAGGAGGCCCAAAATGGCTGATCTCGAATAGAAGTGGTATTGGATAAAACTGCACCTCTAAGAAAAAGTTTTGTAAGGAGTTTCTAAAAATCTCCCTCTAATTAAAATTTTTAGAAGTTTATAGAAAAGTTTTGAAAGGAGTTCCTAAAATCTCCCTCTAATTAAAATTTAGAAGTTTTAAAGTTTTATTTGTTATACCGACATTTAAAGAACTTTAGTTACCCTGTGCAATAGACACCTATATTACAGTGATATGTAGACACTGCTTCAAGTACCTGATATAATAGACTTTGAATATATACTTTACGTGAATATATAATAGACCTGTGCAATAGACACTTCAATTACAGTGATATATAGACACTGCTTCAAGTACCTGATATTATAGACTTTGATACTTTATTTGAGTACTTGTAACTAAATATAACTCCGATACTGCTGCTGTATTGTTATAGGCCCCCCTCAAGCTGTACAGTGCCCGTCGTGTCCAGAGAAACACAGCCATGTATATTATTGCTACGAGTTTATCTCTAATAGTGGATCAGAAAGATTTAAGGTTGCTGCTAAAACAAGAAGCTGTTTTAAGTGCTTGAGGATGGATAGCCCGGTTGATTTCCAAGATAAGGATCGATGGGAGCAGGAACATTATCCTCACTGTGATACGAGCTGGGTTTGCCCCCAGCAGGACTGTATACAGAAGGACGCTGCGAAGCAGAGGCACATCACCATGTGCAGGAGGCACGTGATTGAGAACATGCAGTACGAGGAAGATTTTGTCAAATCTTTAGATAGAAAGTTAATCCCTCCTGGGACGAGATTTTTCACCTTCTTTCCTCAACTCTTCAACCTCAACCCTGTTCCTGCGGTCCCCCCTCCAAACCCCCACAACCTTAGTGTGATTCCTGATATGCCTAACTCAGCTGTTTTTATGATGCAACATGTGATTGTGAATGAGAGGAAGCTGCTGATGTTTTATGATTCTGGGTGCTTGGGTGCAGCTATAAACGAGAATGCAGCTGAAGTCTTGGATACTGTGTGTGTACGTCCTGGACCTACGTCTATGTGTGTAGCAGGTGCTTCTACAATTGAAATTGAGACTGGTGATGAGCAGTTTACCCTGATGATGAGTGATAGAAAGAATGTAGCTACCATTACAGCTCTGAGGATGCCAGAAATAACTACCCCCTTCCCTGTTTGGGAGATGAAAGAGGTTTGGGATGAGATTAAATCTACTTATCTACGAGATTTTCCAAATAATCCCCCGCTCCCCCCGGCCCCGAGAAGAATTGGAGGTTCGCCGGTGGACATTATGCTAGGGATTAGATATTTAGTTCATTATCCGGTTCTGATTTTTTCTCTACCTTGTGGATTGTCCGTGTTCAACTCTAAGTTTAGTGCACCAAATGGAGAAACCGCAATCCTTGGTGGGACGCACCGTGTGTGGAGAGAGGCTGGAGATCGAGCAAATTCTTTAGGTGCGCGTACTTTTTTCACTGCTGAGGCTCGAGCTTATTTTATGGAAGTGTCTACTTTAAACCATGTTTTTACTCAACCCTGTGTGCTGGAGGATGATGAGTATGAAGAGGATGTTCGTGAATTGGAGCTGGGTGAACATGAACGTAATAGTGATCTGTGTGAAAGTGAACATTGTAGTAAACATAGGGAGGACAGAGGATGGGTGATCCCACTAGACTGGAGCTGTTTCAACCTCACGGCACGCCCCCTTGGTTTTGATGATGCTGAGGGGCTGGGAGCTGAAGTACAGTACAGGTGTATAAGATGCAGGAATTGCAATGATTGTAGGAAGGGTGAGGTGTTGGAGAGGATCAGTCTCAAGGAGGAGGCTGAGCAATTCCTTATCGAGGAGTCTGTAGAATACAACCCTGAGGCTAAAAGGTTAGAGGCTGTCTTACCATTTATTAAACCGCCTGGAAAAAACCTGTTTAATAATTTTAATAGAGCAAAGAAGATTTTGGAGTCTCAACTGAAGTTGGTGGGCAAGAGTGAGCAGATGATGGTGGACGTGTTGGCGTCTCACAACAAGCTTCGCGACAAGGGACATGTTGTCGCACTTGATGATCTTCCCCTGGAGGAGAAGGAGCTCGTTCTTGACAAAGTAGATGATGGATATTTTATCCCGTGGCGAACTGTGGTGAACCAGAAGAGTTTGTCCACCCCCTGTAGGATAGTGTTCGATGCGTCCAGCTGCACCCCTGGTGGAGATTGTCTAAATAATTGTCTGGCGAAAGGAGAAAATTGTCTCAACAACTTGCTACATGTGATGATACAGTTCCGAGTTCTTCCCTTTGCGTTCAGCTGTGATGTGTCCATGGCTTACAATGGGATCAAGTTGAAGCCAAGCCACTACAGGTACCAAAAATATTTGTGGGTGGAGGACCTCAACCCTGAGAACCCCATAAAAATAATGGTCGTGAGAACCTTGATTTATGGAGTCCGGCCTTCGGGGAACCAGTTATCTGCAGGATTTGTGAAATTAGCGGAGTACTGTGCTAGTAACTACCCGGAGCACAAAGCTGGAGCTCATATCTTAACCAAGAATATGTATGTGGATGACGGAGTTAGTTCTGCGGAGACAGAGGAGGAGATGATTAAGAATGCAGAGAGTTTGCAATTCGTCCTTGGTGAGGCTGGTCTCGGAGTCAAAGCAGTAACGTACAGTGGTCTGCCTCCGTCGGAGGTTGTCTCTGCTGATGGAGTCCATGTCGGACTGATGGGTATGGTTTGGGATAGTGAGAAGGATTGTGTTGGGATTGATGTTAAACCGTTGTTCTTTGGGAAGATTAAACGTGGGATGGTGCCGGAGCTGGTTAAGGGTGATATCGGAGAAGCTTTAGCTAAAGTTTTTACTCGGAGAACTCTGACCGGAAAGGTTGCAGGTGTATTTGATCCCTTGGGACTTTTGACTCCGATTACAGCTGGTTGGAAGATGGACCTGAGACGTGTTTCTATGTTGGGATTGGGTTGGGATGATCCTGTTCCTGAGGAGATGCTGGAAACTTGGGTAAAAAATCTTGAGGAAATTGCTGCTGTTAAGGAGGTGAGGTTTCGGAGAGCTGTGATCCCTAAGAATGCTAAATCATTGTCAGTTGATTTAATTATCTCTACAGATGCGTCGGAGAATATTGCTGTAGCCTGTGTTCATGCACGAGTTGAACTGCATGGAGGAGGATATCAAGTTCAGCTGGTGGCTGCAAAATCTAAACTGGTAACTAAAGATACAATTCCTAAAGCTGAGCTAAAAGGGGCCGTGATGGGGGCGTGTTTGAGCTACGTTGCAAGATCGAATATGTACCCCTTTTTGAACACTACACTGTATGTAACTGACTCTACTATAGTTCTCTACTGGATCCATCAGGACCAGCGTCCTTTACAAACTGGAGTTCGTAATGGAGTTGTGGAGATAAGAAGATTCTCTGAGCCTGGAAGATGGTTCCACATAGATACTGAGCTGAACCTTGCTGATCTTGGGACTAGAGCTTGTGAGATTGAAGAGATCCGTGAAGATTCAGCTTGGCAGCAAGGCAAATCATGGATGAAGTTGAGTGAAGAGTTAATGCCTATCCGGAGTATTGAAGATGTAACAATGGATGGAGAGCAAAAGAGATTGGCAGCTCAAGGACTGAAGGCCCCGGATATTCATGGTGTCCTTATTTCGTCTTTGAGAGAGAAGGTAGCTGAGCGCTATGGGTTTAGTCAATACTTGGTGGATCCAAATCTATACGTCTGGACCAAGGTGACCAGAATTATAGGTTATATTCTCAGGTTTATTAGTAAGCTTCGTCCAACATTTTCCCCCCTGTGGAAACCACCCCAATCTCCAATTTTGCCCCTGGTGGACAGCGAGCCTGTTGACCCCCTTCTGCTGAGCGAGTACAGGATCAACTATGCTGAGAACTACTTCTTTAGTATGGGAACTAAGGAAGTGAAGCAGTATTGTCCGAAGAAAGATTATAAGGATTGTACAGTTGAGAAGAATGGAATCCTTTATTATACTAGTCGGATCCTGGATGGCCAGTGTATCGAGGACCCGGAGAAGGTGATGCTGGACCTGGAGCCGTTGTCATTTGTGAAACCAAAATTCTACCTGTACTCTAAGGGAATCCCGGAGCATTGCGTTTATATTCCGAGGCTGAGATCTTGCTGTAGAAGTTCGTGAGGGTTGTGTTGCTTGTAGAAGATTTAGGGTAAGAGTTGTTGATGTGGAGATGGGGAATGTTCATGAAAACAGATTGACTATAGCCCCTGCTGTTCGGACCGTACCAGGCTGTGTGCGAGCATAACCAACGGAGCGTGGTTAAATGTTACGGAGTGGTTTTCAAGGATCCGTCAACCTCTGCTGTAGCTATTTTTATGATGCAGAATTACTCAACCTCTCCATTTCTCCAGGCTTATACCTGGTTTAGCTCCAGGTATGGCCACCCTGCTAAGATGTTTATTGATGCTGGGAGCCAGTTGATCAAGGCCTGCAAGGAAGCGGAGTTTGTAATTGTGGACGTTGCCCGAGATTTATCTACCAAATACCAG